TCCGCACCCCTTGTGCCGCGGGATGCCTCCACTCCGCTTTTTCACTCCCAAATAACCCCTTACCCGACCCCCCCTGTGTATTGTCACTATTCGCCTTTTCCATCAGATCGCACATCTATCCATAAATGTACAACACAACCTTATGATTACACATACTATTACACTCGGGGAACGACTTGGTCATGGATGTGGTCATATGGGGTTCTTTCTGCTAATTAGCACACCCGTACACGCGTGGCCTTGTAAATCTGAACCGTTATTAGCACGTGCGTGTGACACGTGCATGCTGTACATACAGAGATACATACATAGGTAGATACATAATCCACATCTGCACACATCTCTCCTGCACCCCATTTCCATTTCCATCTCCACCATATATCTAATCCCACCATTGCGCGCTTCTGCGCCTGATTCCCTTCGACGCCACTCATACGCAAACGGAAAGATGCTGCGTTGTCGCTCCGTGACGAGTCACCTTCGTGGGCGTTATGCTAATTCACGAATAGGATGTGGCTTCCCTTAAGCTGACAAAGGCGTGCGGTGATGATGGCTGTACCGCGCGACGGCGATGGATGGCTTCTGCAGCTGGTCAACACAAAGCATGATACGGCATCTCAACTATGTACAGAAGCGGCCCCATCCACATCCAGAGGCGATCCGTTTTGCAGCCTCAGCGCGATACCTACTCTATGTGGTTATATGAGATCGCACAGACTTTGCAAAGGACGGCAATAAATAATACTATGAAAGACGTGGTGCCCTACTGCACAGTCGTCGACGGCTGGAGTGGTCGTACTACCGATAAACGGCATTAGCACAACTGATTGGCATGTGTAGCCTGGAAGAAAGAGGCAGGACACTTTCATTTACATCCCGCGATGGGTGCCAGAGAGCAATATCCGACTAATGTTAAGAACGATACGATAAGAAGCAGCGTGGCTAGCTTCAAGGACACTTTACGGGTACCAACCCCGATCCCGATGCAAACATCTTGGGCGCTGAACTGAGTAACGGGAGTTGTCATAACGTAAGCGTTATTGCTAAAAAAAAAGGAAAAACGTGCCCTGTGAAGACACGTGTAATAATCTGGCCCAACTATTGGCCCTGAGAAAGCCACGTCGATGCAACCAACAAGCAAACCAACTCCGTCACCGACTAACCAATCCACTGATATCCAGTCCAGGGATACGAGCATGCGGTGCGCGTCCTTGCCTAATTAACATCCCTAATTAACACTCACCATGTACGGCACGAGGAGCCGGCGGCGCACATTCCGTACAATATGTATCCCGAATATATATGAGATGCAGGGGAGTATGAGGGATATATGAGCCCTTGAGTCCTCGGCTTGTATTGGGCGGTTTGCAGGTACGGGGAACGCACCCCACGACCATTTAACACACACACACACACACACACACACACACAGATGCAGCGGCTAGGCGGCAGCATAGCCGACATCCAAACGAGAGCAGCAAACAGTCCCCACCAACCAGCAACCAACAACTGTCATCATGCAATGGCCTCGCAAACTATTCAGTGCAACGAACATGACGGCAGCGGAAGCGCCAGATCCTAGGGTTGGCAGGTTCCTGGGAATGTGCTGCGACTCTTTGCGACCTGCAGGTAGTCTCAGCCAGGCGTTCCCCACATTCTCCTCGCTTGCTAGGGGCATCCCGGGGAGTTCATTCATTCACAACCGATGCGCGCACCCTCAGTTGAACACAATGTCACGGGAATCATCTTTACAATTTACAACGACCTAATCCTCGTTTCTAGGACTCATCTTCCTTTCCAGGGCGAGCCTCCTAATGATAATATACAAAACCGTGGCCGTTTTATTCATTGTCCCCCCGAAACAACTACATACCCCCCCGTCACTCAATCACCTCAGCTATATGAAAGGGATGCTGTTTGTCACACACTTGTTGTCGCGAAGATATGTACGAGTTTGCTTGCTCGTACATGCTCCATAGCGATGACGTACATTGTTGTGACGTTGTGCCCACTCCATCCTTTCTCCCGCGCGTAACAAAACAAGCAACAACAGCAAATCGGCTGCGGCAGCTTTACCTTCTGTCTTCACGTGACACACCGGCTCCCCATCAGGCTGTAGCACATTGTTTGGCCGAGTGTCAAAAAGGCCTTATGACTTCAGTCCTGACTTCATTGTGTGTGCGGATCAATGGATTCATGTAACCTAGATGGATCAGCGTCCACCATCCGTTGGTAACCATGCGCGCTTCTAACCATGCGTGCTGTACCCCCCCCTCCCAACCCCCTCTACACCCGTGCCGCTCAATTACCACCACCTCCCAGTCGAGTGCAGCCGTACCCCCTGGGTTTCTTCTAAAAGGGAGGTTTTCCAAAAGGGAGGGGTACCACGAAGCACAGACGATTGAAGAAAAGAAAAAGACGGATACTCCAAGATGAGACCAAGAAGGGGGTTTCTTCCGCACACTCTGTGGCAATATCCGTCTCAACTCCTGTGGCATACATATATCTAGGTTAGGCACTACTGGTGGAGCCCGCACCAATACCCCCGGGAGATCCCGGAATCGAGACCTGTCCGGGTCGAAAAACCTTCTGATGGGGGAAAGTAAAGTGTCCCTAGTCGATGGACGGTGGTGACCTGGGATAAAGTTGACTTGCAAGTTGACCAGGAATGGAGTAGGGCCGCCGTCAATCCGGCAGATTTCGTTGGATGCCGGTGGTGGGTGCGGAACCTGAGCGATCCACTGAGAAGTTGACTAGGGTGACTAGATGAGGGTGCCCCAAAGTACCGCGGAAGGCAGGGTTTCGCCGGGTAGCGGCCACGGGTGAAGATATGCCCCCCTGTCCCACACATTACATATATGCGGCCAGGCTCGGTCCAATCACAGCCTCGATGGCTTCACTCTCGACATGGGAGGATCATTTTCGTCTCAAGTCGAAGAAAAGAATGCAGTGAAATACCCGCGTGCGCCTTACGCCATGCACGCAACTAAATTACATGCGCGCACCCTCAAGCACGCTGCTGCCCATCACGCTGCTGCAGCGTAACCACGTGTGTTTTCAGCGCACTCCGGAACAGATTTATAATTTCAGGCTAGTTTTTTCCATTTCCGAAACCAAGAATTCCAGTACTTAAACAACGTCCGCCGTTGATCTTGGGCCAAGATAACAGATAATGTGTGCAACTTCCACCAAACCAATTCCATCACTTGGATGTTTCTATTTGATGGTGAGCGTTAGTTGAGGATAAGAGCCATAAGAAGCCACGCAATCTGAGCACAACGACTCATTGCAGCCACTGTGCAGCGCGCCTTCCGGTGGCAGCTGACAAGAGCCCCACACGTGAGGCCACCATCCACCTGCTTCCTCCCCTCTCCCTCTCTCTCTCTCTCGCGCGCGCGCGCGCATATGCATGTGTATGCGATATACCAGCACCAACCCACCGAACCCGACACTGACCAACCGCCCTAACGACCACACCAACAGCCAACTGACCAACCACCTGCAACTTCAATAGCGAGGGTGCATGTGCGCATAGCCAGCTGCATCCTGCTGCTGATGCCACTGAGAGTGCAGTTCGATACTCTTTCCAAATCACCCCCGCTCCTCTTTCCTTGCCTGCCTGAGGAACCACAACCAAATCACGGATCGCAGTGCGGGATATCCTCTTACAACGTTTGCGCGCCCGCGCTGCATAAACCCTCCCTCTCCCTCCCCCGCCCGCTTGTTTGAGCATGTTGTAGGATTGGAAGCCACACATACGAGTTACCGTACTTTAAACTCGCCCTCAAGCCTCCTCCCCTCCTTTCTCCTCCTCCTCCCTCCTTTCTCCTCCTCCCCTTCCTACGCCGCCATAGTAGTACACCGCTCCTAGCCCTGTAGCACACGCGACTCTCGCCCTCCGTCCATCATCAACTTCCACAGTGCCCCCTGAAATACAAATTCGAATACTTAAATAGCACGCCCCGGTGAGATGCGATGGAGGGAGGTTCGAGGAGGAGGCAGACGGTAGGCGCGGGGGTTGGGCGCCAGCGAGTACGAGGCCACCAATTAAGGAGGAAAGGAACAAGGAAGGGAAATACGAACGACGAAGCAGGTTTGCATGAAAGTCACTGTACACCTCCGCGATCTAAGGACCTGCGGCACAAATTGATGCATGCGGCCTCGCAGCCGGCGGCTATCGGCCCTGCCCCGCCTTGACTGTCCTGGAGGGCCCCTGCCTCACCTCCAATGAAACAGTATTACGTACTAGCCACTACGCAAGACTGTGCCTCGCTTCAATGCAGCGAAGCACGCAGCGGCTGGCCTCTCAGATCAGCTTTTTGTGGTCGGGGTCGATTTGCCCCTCCGTGCTTTAGTTCTTATATATGCAGAAACTGCCAGGACAGGCAATGTATAATAATATAATAATAATAATGATAAATAAACATAATATATATATTATGTTTATAATGCTTTTATGAAAATATTAATATGTGTAATGCTTTAGGAAGGCGGGCACCCCCCGATTGGCGCTGCTCGCCAACGTGCCGTACTGCACTGTACTGCAGCGTACTGCACCTGCTGTGCCGCGCGATTCTGCGAATGCTCCGAGCTCTTTACCATCCTCTCGTCTTCTCACTCGCATGGGCTCACACTCCCTCGCTCGCTCACTCGCACCATCGCACACGCGCCCTCACAACGGCCTTCCTTTCCTCCGTACTGTCGTAGTATAGTACTTAAGTACTCCGCCCATATGTAATATACTCCACAATCCGCACCCGCATATGCATGTACCAAACACGCATATGCACCAACTACAGAGCACTACGACCAAAATTAACCTGCGGATGCCGTACCGTTGTACGACACTATTTTCGAGCGAAAAGTGCTCATCGCACAATCCAACCCCCCCCCGTCGGGATGTGCATCATTAACGACACACAAGCCGCCTCCGTTGTATATGCTCGCAACCCACAAGTGAAAAATATTATCCACATATCACATTATTGTTTGTTCACGAGCTACGCAGCAATGTAATACATGACAAAACATGTGAGCCCTTGGCAAGTTAATTTGCAGCAGCCCTCGGTCAGAACGGTCATTACCATTACCTACAACAGCAGCAGCAGCAGCAGCAGCAACGGGATTGGGGAAATCTACTCGGCCGTTGCTGTTCCTGCTGCTATAGATGACGGTCCAAAGAACCAAAAAAGGGCCCAAGCAAAACCCACGTACGAACTTGTCAAATACAGTACCTAAAGCCCATCAAGCGCATGCGGTGGTTGGTCACCCACACAAATGATTATCCACGGGCAACGTGATGGGGAGGCAACGTGAGAGAGAGGTAGGTTGCCACGATGGAGAGAGCCGCAGGCCCAAGAGCGGAGATGAAAAAAGGCGGCCTAAGAAATGATGAGGACGACAAGAAGGACAAAGATACCTTTGTGTTTGAGCATGTGCCCGCATGAGCCCAGCGCGACACGTATTTTTTAGCAAATGCTGGCCACAGAGGCAGCAAAATCGCTTCCCGTGCCTAACAGTACCACTAAATATGTGTTGCGTAGGTGTAGTCGTGGTGAGGGAAAGGAAAGAGACACGTGGAGCGAGGGAAAGGGGTGTGCGCAGTGCGAGCAGCGGCAGCAGCGCTGGGGACCGCTAGACCGGGCGCATGGGGAAAAAGGCTCTCACCCGGCATAAGACGGCAGAGGGGCAGACCCAGCCCCTCCCCCCCTTGCTGTGCGCGCATTCACTCACGCCAAGCCAAGCGCGCAGGCAGGTATACACTGCCCAATGCTTAGCCTACTGTGCGGAAGGCAGCCGGAAAATTTCTCTTCCTGATATCTGCATGATATTCCGCATCTGAATGTGGGCCAATGCAGAGTACGAGACGCGCCACGTAAACTTAGATCAATCAACAACCTTGGAAGGACCGTGCAACAAGGTGCACGAGCCCCAAGGGGCAGCACGAGACGGAACAAGCCCCGCGCCACAGCGCCCGTCGCCCCCTCGCCGCCCTCCCTATCCGTATCCTTCCTCCCTTCCCCCCAGCCGGCTGCTGCCGCGTCAGCGCCGCGCTCTCCTCTCCTCTCCTCTCCTCTTCTCCTGCTCCTCGTCAAATGAAATCCCGCTCCTTCTAAACGAGCACCTTCACCACGGTAGGTAACATGTGGGCTAAAACGGCTGTGTGCCTCTTTGAGCTCCTCACGGCCGGCCCCCTTCCGTGCACCTCCTCTCGTTATCCCCTCACAAGCAGCCCCTCACAAGGTCTCGGTCTCTGACACACAGCCGCAACAGAAGCGACACCGCACTCCGTCCGCCCCCATCCCTTCTTGCCCTCCGGTGACCCTTTTCTCCCCCTAGCCACGTCCGCGCTCATGCCCGCCTGAGTACTCAACCAAGTCAGCTAGATCAGCCTGTTGACAAGTAAATAGACCGTAGACCAATCGGCGGGGGAGCAAGCAGAAGATCGAGAAAACGGGGCGGCAGCTCTTCAGACAGATCGATGAACCGACCTCGGGCCTGCCGCGAAACGCGCACATGGCCAATAGAGGCAGTGGTTAGACTCTTAGTGAGTCAAACCAAGCGGTCACCTGTTCAAACGTAGGACGTTTCTCGGGCTGAGGATCGCAACACATGTTGTACAGCGGCTCCAGAGCCCCACACCTGCCTTCAGGCCAGGACGGCCGCATCTTGAGGCATAACACGCTGAACATTACCTGGCCTGTTGCAAAACAAAACAGAAACATTTTCAGGATCATGATTTTTAAACGCGATACTTGTAAACACACGAAGTTGTTCAAGTTGTTCCTGTAACATAAGATGGTTAATAATATAATATAGTATAATTTAATTTAATATAATAGTAATAACATATATAATACATTAATATAAGAGTAAAATTATGTACCAATGTAATAATATATAAGTATATAATATTAAGCAATAATATTAATATATAAATTTAATAATGTAATAATCTATAAATATACAATGATAAGCAATAAATTAAACTAGATAAAAAAATGAACGGTTCCTCTGAATCCAGCCTCATTCACATCGCGCCAATGCCACACACTGTTACCACGCCACTCCACTACACGCTATGCCGCATCCCACTCCCACAGCCTCTCCCAACCTCCTCACCAAAGGTGAGATCCGCAAACGGCCGTACTCCCGACACCAGCTGCTGCATGCAAATTCCAAAGCTATACACGTCAGCCGCCTGCTCCGCCCCGCTGCTGTCCTCCTCATCGGCCAACCGCTCCGGGGCGCTGTACGCCACCGTACCGCAAGTGTCCGCGCCGCCGTTGGTACCCTGGTGGCCTGACAGCCCTGACAGCCCGAAGTCGGCAACCTGCAGCGGAAAAAGGGGATGAAGATGCGGAGGAGAGGAGCTCTGGTAGCAAAAGGGAGGAGCAGGAGCAGCAGGAGCAGCAAGAGCAGCGGGAGCAAGAGCAATAGCTGCAGCATTGATATTCAGGGGAAGTAAACGACTACGGAAATCAGAGACGCTGGTATCACCAGGCTCCCAAAGCATCAGCAAGAGCAGCAAGATTTCAATTTTGGACTCCTGCATTCTTATTTATCATATAAGCAGAAGCATTTGAAGAAGCAGTCGATGGATTAAACGCATGCCCGCCATGCACACACACACACACACACACACACACACACACACACACACACACACTTATCCTCCTCAAGCAGACAGCGTCCCTCCTCCGCTCCTACACGCACGAACCACCATCGCGCAGTCATACACAGACAGCCGGTCTGCCCGTCCTCCCCACCCACCTTGGCGGTGAGCCGACCCGTAGAGGGGTCCCGTAGCAGCAGGACGTTGGCGGGCTGGGCATGGCACGGTGGTGGAAAAACACACGGGTGCGGGGGAATTAATGCGAATGGGTGGGGAGGAAGGCACGGCACGGCGTGTTGTGTTGCAGGTGTGGCCTGCGCACAGTGGCAGGCATGCGGATATGGGGAGGAACCCTGTGTATGCCAGACAGGGGGCATGGCGGATGGGGCAGCGGGAATTTTAATTTTGACTTTGCTAGCTTTGTTGAGTTACAACAGTTTTTGAAGTACCAAAAGAGGCAACGGGGCGAGGAGGGGGCGAGGAGGGGGCGAGGAGGGGGCGAGGAGGGGAAAGCGAGTAGCGAGGGGCATATGTAGTCAAGAAGATGCCGCAGCGACCGCAGTAAATGTTCCACTCGTCCACTGTTCGGCAATCTTCCAAACTGACGCATCCCTCCCAGGATAGTGTACTGTGGTACATTGCCGTTGTTTGTAAAGTCCCTCGAGCATCATAGCACCACATGACCATGTTATGCATTTCCAAACGATACCCCCGGGCATGGGGAAGCACAACTTCGCGGCGCTGGCCATCAGAGCTCTTTTCAGTGCGCCAAAACCGTCGGAATTCGGCTCTTCAAGCGGCGGTCTGTGCTCATATGCGCATATGCTGGCAACCCATGCAGCCGCTACCGCACTGTTGTTGTCGTACCTTCAGGTCTCCATGCACAAGACCGTGTGCGTGCAGGTACGACATGCCACATGCCACTTGTCGTAGCAGGTACACGGCGGTGGCCAGGTCGCAAGGGGTTTCGGAGCTGGAGAAGGAGTCCAGATTGCCCTGCATAGGCGCGCACGCGCCATTGTATGTGTGTGTATGTGTGTGCGTGTGTGTGCACGAGGAGGAGGTGTGGCAAGTGGAACGAGTGAAAGCAGAGAGGGAAGTGGGAAACGCACTCCCTCTTTTCCTAGCTCACTGTTTCTGAACGAAGACACTAAAACACGAGCGCCGAAAACTAGATGCCACGGAACAGCTATAAATACGACACCATACGAACACAATCCAAACAGGACACCTGCGCCAGCCAGACAGCCAGCCAGCCAGCCAGCCAGCCAGCCAGCCAGCCAGCCAGCCAGCCAGCCAGAAAGCTGACCCTTCCCCACAACCCCCACCCCCAAAAACACCATCCGAATCAGCGTACAGGAAGCGCACAGCAACCTCACCGCGTCTGCATATTCCATCACAACCACCGTGACGTAATGTGCCTCCGCCGTCGGGTGACCCGTGGGTCCGACCACGCCGACAGTCCGCAAGACGTCCAGCAGTCGTTTGGCGGCGATCCCGCCACGCGGCGGTCCCGGCCCTGGCCCCCGGGGCGGTGCAGCTGCGGAGCCGTGGCATGACGGCGCAGGACCGGGGCCAGCAACCAGCACGCGACTGGGCATTCCGGGGTCCACTGATTGAAGCAGCTGCGGCAGCAACGTAACCCGAGCGCCAACCCCGAGTATCCGCACGCTGCCGTGCCATGGCACCGCACGCTGCCCGTGTGTACGGCATGCATCCGCGGTGGCGACCAGCCCCGCTAACGGAGCCGACGGCGCTGACGGCGGCTCCTCTACCGCCGCCGCCGCCGCCGCTGCTGCCGCCATCACAGCTGCGTCATCGTCGTACGCCGCTATTTCTGTGCGCGCATTGGCGGAAAGTGATTTGCGGATGTACAACTGTCGCGGCAGTCCGCCGCTGCTACCACCCGCCGCCGCCACCGCGGCCGCCGCCGCAGCAGCAGCTGCTGCTGGCCCAACCCTATCACGGTCTTCGCTCGGCACACCAGATGCACTGGACAACCGCCCTTTCACCTCCCCTTGCGGTGAGTTTTGCACTCTGCCTGCTGCTACTGCGGTTGCTGCTGCTACTCCTCCTCGCGACACGACGACGTCATTACAGAGCGCTAAGCCGAGCATCGGCCCGGCAGGCACCTTGGCCATAGCCTTTGTCGCTTCTTCCCGCACCGCCAGATGCCGACGGCAAGATCCGACGGCAGAGATTGCAGCGTCGCCGCCGCCGCCGCCGCCGCCGCCGTAGCCAGCGAATCCGGCGGTACCAATGCCACAAGTGATATTAGCAGTAACATTAGCGTCAGCGACAGCGGCACCTATCGGCGTCCTGGGAGATGTCGAGCTGACGGCCCGTCCAGGCGACGCACCCGCCGACAGCGCCCCCGCTGCAACACCTCCTGCCGGCGCCGTCGTCGTCGTCGTCGTCATCGTCGCCTTCCACTGCGAGGCTGCGGCCCCAGCGCGTAGCTGCGGCGTCGAAGGCAGCGACAAAGGCGAGCAAGCGGCGGCGGAAGTGCCGTTTGAGTAGCGCCGGGTGCCGGCGCTACTGTGCTTCTTGCGCTGTAGCACGGCCGCCGCCGCCATGGCGGCGGCGGCGGCGATGGCCTTGAGCTGGGACACGGCGCGCCGATCGACACGCGCCACCCGGGTGGTGTATGTACGGATAATGTTTTCGTGTTCCAAGCCGGGCCCCAACAGGGCTTCCCTGACGGCGGGCGCCTTCAAGTCCAGGGAGGTGCTCGCCAGAAATTTAATCCCCACGTTGATGCCATCCAAAGTGCCTAAACAGGAAAGGCCAAGGAAGGCAAGGAAAATGAAACATTATTGATGATTGGCTAACAGGGAAGGCTAGGGAAGGCTAGGGAAGGCAAGCGAAGTGAAAATGACTAATTGTTGCCTAAACAGGCACCAGGACCAGAGGAGGGAAACCAAGAAAAACATGAAACGGCCAGACGTTTAAACAGAATTCATCGCTTCGCAGTTGATAATATCTAACTTTAGTAAACTTCGTTCGGATATGTATTCGAATAAAAAAATCTATACGATGTCATTTAGGTTGCCTAGACAGGCAAGGCCAGGGAAGGCAAGGCAACGCAAAACAATTATCATCCACATTGATGCCATGAGGAGTGCCTAAACAGGCAAGGCCAGTTAAGGCGAGGGAAGGAAAGGAAAAGTAAGGCTATGAGAAGGCTGGGGCAGGGCGAGGTGAGGCGACGAGGCGATTCACGCGAGTGCAGGAGACAGGGTTCACACGAGTCACAGATGGCGGTTCAAGACGGGGTAAGGGACATACGCGCGTGCACACACACCGCACAGGGGGAAAAAGGACATCACTTATACAAGTAATACGCTAGCGGGGAGGTGGGGGGAAACGCGGGGAAATGAAAGCTGAGCCAAACGGCAAAAAGCCAGAGCAGCTTTTGGAAAACAAAACAAATGTAAACAATCGCGACACAATCCGATGCGGGCGCCGCCTGCATTCCTGCTTAGCAAAATCCGCAAATGGGAACATTTTTCCGTACATGGGTACAGGGACACGTGCGGAACCACGCCTGCTCGCCGTACCTCGGTAGACTGCCGCATAAGCCCCACTTGTTACGTACGACAGGTGACACAGCCCGTCCACTAACAGCAACGGGTCCGACACCAAACCGTCCTCAAGCCGTAAAGTATGCGGGGAACCACCGTCAACTTGTTGTACGGCAGCCGCTGGCGGTGGGAGTGATGGCGACGGCCGTCCCGGCGACAGCGGCGGCGATGCAGGCAGTAGCGCTTTCAGCGGCGGCCAAGCCACGGTGTTGAACGGCGACGCTAACGGCAGGGAATGTGCGGCGTCGGAGAAAGAACCGGCGTCAGCTGTCGAGTCCATTGCGCCGGAGCCAGCGGCGGCGGCGGCGGCGGCGGCGGCGGTGGCGGCGGCGGAAGCCGGCGGAGCAATAAGGGCGGATAAACCGTCGGAAGCGAGACCCCGGGAGGAGCCGTCGGCCCCCCGGATGCTTGTCGTACCTCCGCCGGCGCCAACGGTATGCAGTACGGAGAGCTGTGAACCGCCGCCGCTGCCGGCACTGTCGTCCGGCAGCGGGCAGTTCGGCGCAGCGGACCGCAGCAGTGCAATCGCAGCGAGGCTGGACTCAGATGCGATTACCGACGACCCGCGACGTGTGCCCAAAGAGTGGCGACCGCGCATCGCGGCGCCGCCGTTATTAAGCGCAGCGACCCACGGGGCCGACTCTCCGCCGCCACCGCCGCCGCCGCCACCGCGGTCGCCGCCACCACCTAAGGCAGCTGCTTCCATTTCGCAGGTGCCTATTCTGGGAATGTCTCGCAGATGCGGCGGCGACGGCATGCATCGACTGCAGGGCTCAATCTTGAGCGTACGACCGCTGCGGTTGGACATGGATCCTCCAGCGGCGGCGGCGGCGGCGGCGGCGGCGGCGCTGCTGCCGCCGCCGCTAGCGTTCCCGGAAATATTCTGCACCGATACGAAGGATTCAAGGCCTCCATGGTACGGGAATGTCGACGGCGACGCCGACGACGCCAGAAACGTCGGGCTAGTCAGCAAGTGACTCGGAGTGGGGCTGCAAACACTCGGTGCACGACACTCGCCGATATCCACAGGCAGCCGTACTGGGCCGTACTGGGCCGCCTGGGATGTGGTCGCCGCCGCCGCTGCCGTCGGGGCCCCCACACCGGCTCTGAGCTGCGGGCTGGCAAGCAGGGACAGTCCGGAGCGTGACGTCATCACGGAGCCGCCGTCGTACAGGGAGTCTGGCCCAGGGCTTGCTGTACGGGAGAGAAACGCCAGCACCGGCTCCGCAGAGGCTGCATCAACATGCGCGCCGTCGGCTCTCACCGAGCCATGCACAGCCAGATGCCCGCCGTCGCCACCGCCGCCGCCGGGCAACGTCATCGCGTTCCACGACGCCTGCATGGGCGCCGCCGCCACGGGCAGCTGGGAGTTTGAGGCAGGCCTCAACACATCCCCATCCCCATCCCCATCCCAGGGGGGCGCCCGCGATGCCGCTGGCATGGTCCCCCGCCCGTCGCCTACCGACAACAGATGGCGGTGTTGGTGGGCTTCCGTACGACGGTGGCCTCCGCCGCCGCCGCCGCCGCCGCTGCCGCAGCCACAACCCACCTGACCTCGATTGCTGTTAAATGCCTTGAACAGCTGTGGCGACGGGCTGGCGGCGTGCCGGCCAACCGCCGGTGTGAGAAGGGGGGCAGAGGTGGCGTCGGCCGTCGCAACGGGTGCCAGCGGCTCCGTGCCGTCAGGCAGTACGTCACGTTCCAAAAGGTTTTGGATCACGAGGATTGCTTGTTCCGCTTCGGCGACGGAAGAAGCGCCTACCCCAGGCTGCGTTTGCGCACCCGTACGGACCACAGAGCTGGCGGCGCCGTCGGGGCAGCCGTCGACGGCAGTCAGCGTATCGCCCAAGCTACCCACAACAACCCCTTGCAGTAAGGCGACGTTCGCTGAGGGGTCGCCGTCAGCGCCAGCGCCGCCGCTGGCGTCGTCGTCAGCGAATGCGCTGGTTGGCAGCACGGTGATGGCGGCTGTAGCAGCAGGTGGTAGTGTCGGCAACGGCAGCGTGCCGCCGCCGCCGCCGCGGCTGCTGCTGCCGGCTCCCCAGCTTTCGGCGGCTGCACTGCCGGCCGTGGGGCCGCCGCCGTCACCGCCACCACCACCAGTGCAGCAGTAGCCGCGGCTTATCCAGCCCGCCGCCGGCGCTGCCTTCAGAAATCTTGTTATGTACGGCTGTGCGGCGCTACTATCGCTAGGTCTATCAGGCAGTAGCACACCCGAACATTCCCCCGAAAGCGCCAACGGCCCTGACAGTTGCTCCATAAGGCCCCTGACAGCGGCAGCCGCCGCGTCAGCATCGGCAGTGACGCCGGATCCAAACGGCGGCCGCACCGCCGCGGTAGCAGCCATTGCAACAGCACCCTCCATATCGACAACTTCGCGCCGTACAACTTCCGGCTTTGCCGCCGCCGCCGGCAGCGGCGGTACCACCGCCGCCAGCCCTCGGGGAACGCATGAGTCGATCCAGCTAATCGCGCCTGTGGCTTTCAAACCTCCAGCCGTACTGGGACGGATGGGAAATCCTGCCAGCGACGGCGCTGCCGTCGATTCTGTTGCTCCCGTCGCCGCCCCCGCGGCGACTGCGGCGGCTGCCGCCGCCGCTGCAGCTACAGCCGCAGCATTCGGGGCTGCGGCTACAGCTATCGTCGTTTGCTGCTGTAGCTGGGAGTACCGGTCACGTTGCTCCCGAAGCTGTTGTAGAAGCCGAGCTTGTTGATAGCTGCTCCCGTAGAAGCTCAAAGCGTCGGAAGTTGTCCGCTTCCCTGAGCTGCCGTCGCCGCCGCCGCCGTCGCCGCCACCGTCGACGTCAACGTCGCCGCCGATACTGGGCGCATAGGTGTATTTCGGTAGTGCAGAGGTTGAATGGCCGCTAACAGCGCATGCGGCAGCGGCAGCGGCCGCCGCCGCCGTGCGCATCGGCAAGCCCCTAGGGCGCAGCGGCGACAGCGACGGCGGCTGCACAGCACGCACTTCCACGCTGTTTCGACCAGCGCTGACCTGGCAAGTCCGGAAAACAGCCCCTGGCGGCACGCCGCCGCCGCCGCCACAGCCGCCGCTGCTACTGCCGCCACCGCTTACGCTGCACCTTCGGCTACTACTGCCGCATCCGCCGCGACAACCCCCAACGTAATAGCTCCGGCTGCTCGCGGTGCTGCTGCCCGGCTGCTCGACGGAGCGCGGCGCGGTGTACGGCGCGTACGTCATCAGGTGCGGCGGCGCCGCCGCCGCGCGTTCCCCTGACGCCGTGCTCGAGCACACAGTCCCCGACAAAACCCCGCCGCCGGGCCTTATGTCCGGACTACTAGAACACCTGGCGAATGCTACTGCTGCCACTGCTGCAGCTGAAGTACCGACTGAAGAACCAGGACCGTGACCAGGAGGACAGCAGCTAGCCGCGCCGCCGCCCGGCGTGGTTGCAGCGGCTGCCACCGTACTGCCGCCGCCAAGCGCGCCGCCGTTTCCCGCAGCTGCGAGCGCCGACGCACGACGCTTCCGCCGCTGTTGTGCGGCATCCAATGCCGAGGTGTTGCCGCCGTATGTTTCTTGCTGTGATGCTGCCGTTACCGCACAGTCGGCGGGGCTGAGTCGGCACTCGGCGGCGGCGGCGGCGGCGGCGGCGCTGCCGCTGCGGCATGTATCTGATGGCGCCATCAGGCCGGAGCTCCATGGCGGCGGCAGCCCCCGGGTCGGAGTTCCCGGGTCTCCGGTCAGTCCGCCGGAGCTACCGCGATTGCTCGCCTGGGGGCCCGGGGGGAGTCCGGGCGGGGGGGGGAGTCCGGGCGGGGGGGAGAGGATGGTGCCGTGTGTGTGTGTGTGTGTGTGTGTGTATTCGTGCAAGCGGGGTATGGCCCGTATGACGCGGATAATGGACGCAGAACGCGCGGGGGGTACTGGTGATGTCGTACTTCCCGCTACCCCGCACCCACTACCCCTTAACAAAGGTGGCCACACCGGCTACCCCCTGCCCCGCCCCCTACCCCCACGCACCCCCACCTGGCGCATGAGGGTCATGAAGTCCAGTCTCATGGGCGATGCAATCGATCTGGAGGTGGCGGCGGACACCGGGGATACGGAGGGGCCGCCGGGCTTCACCGGCGCACCCCCCACCGCCGAGTGAGGCCTGGACAAGGTGGTGATGATGGTGGTGATGATGGTGGTGGTGATGGTGGTGATGGTTTGGAAGGTAAGGAAACGGGAGGGGAGGGGAGGATGGGGAAGAACGTTAATGCAATGGCGGGAAGGGAGGGAATCAGAACGGTCCTTGTCCAGGAAAGAGTGAAATCCGCTACGGCTGCTGGCGGCCAGTCCTTTGGAGTCGCATTCAATTCCCCCATCGTCCAGGCTACCATGGATCATCCATCCGCCATGCACAGCAGCAGGATATCTGTATGTATGTATGTATGCATGTATGTATGTATGTATGTATGTATGTATGTACGTACGTGCTCTGCAAGTGGTTTGCAATTTGCGCTGCTGTGCATGTAGGAGGGGGCCATTCCCACACCTGGGACATCACCTCCACCGCCCTCCACACAAACACAGGCGAACACACACGCACACACACACGTGTCACATGCTGCCCCCCTCGTTGCATCGTGCCGTTCAGGAGGTTTAGGGTTTGTAGACTTCAGAAGGTATACCCCAGGGTTGTGATCCGCTCGAATGTACTGTGTAACGGGATCTATTCGTACGTCCACGACAAGGAAAATTGCGTCTCGAAGCAGAGCTGGGTCCACAGAGTTTGGTCCTCGATGCAACCCTCTGGAGCTTCTTATGCAGAAAGTGGGCAGCTTGTGCTGGCGCACGCGAATGCTTAAGTAGGAGAAGAAGTGGGTCGGGCGCCTCATCGCCAGCCTGCAGCAGGCTGACCTCAACTCACCTCATCACAGCACACAGAAACCACGGCGATGAACAGCTATACCGAAAAGTGACGCGAAAGGACAAGGAGCGGAAGAGTCGTGGGCTGTGCAGGTCAACATTTCCAGGCATTGCGGCCCTGAAAGGGGCGACTCAGACTCTCTCCCAAACGTTGACGTAAACACCAAAAGCGGCCCAATGACATGGCCGATCAGTCATTCCTCAGCAGGTTGGCAGGCTGGTTGTGTTTAGAAAGGAGCAGCCTTATTCCGGAGATGGCACGCTTGACCCACCTGATGGCTGCTTGTCCTAAGGCAGCAGCAGGGTCCAAACCAACGCAAGACGAGCAACCACGAGCCACGACAAGGGTGGGACATGAACTGCGAGAGGCCTCACTCCACTCCGTTCGATTGGCTGCATCGTCAATAACACCTGCACATCCGGTTACAGGGGAATTTTAAAACTGTACCTAGAGTGATCTCTATGAACCAAATCCTTGGCCAGGACTACTCTTTGCAACCTCATGCGTGCAACCGGCAGAAATGCAGTGAAGGCAAAGCATATCTACCAGGTCATGTGCAATTGCCGCAACCTACCTTGATCCATAAGTCCCAAAGCTTCGTCCTCAACAAGAGGAGCAAGGATATCCGCGTTGCTGCTGCTCCGCCTCCGCGAAGCTGCCAAAGGCATATCCCGGATGTGCGCCTCCGGAAAACCATCTTTTGCTGTTATGCCTGTTTGACTGCAACTGGCTGGTAATCGTCCACTCCTCTTCACCAAACTGCAGGACACTGACTGACCGTCAAGGGCCCCGTCATTTTGGACAGCTTCTCTCCTATTGTTTGACTTTAAGTCCGCAACATCCGGTCTTATACAACCCAAAAGAAACCCCAGCCATCTATGCATTTCCCCTCAGCGCGTTATGGTGATCAAGTAGCGCCTAATTAGTTGATAGGTTACATTAAAATTTTTACTAAGAAGGGTTGTGGAGACTAGAGCTGGCAAGCACCAAGATGCAAGAATTATACATTAACTGCGATGGACAGCCATCAGCTCAGCGCGACATGCCGGAGCCAGAGTCCCAACATTTTTTCGACTAGAGTAGCAATACTATGAATAAACGCGTGGATGGCCAGGCTTTGCTGCCGTTAAGCGTACAGCATTCCGTACCTATGAATGCATGTGGAGCATACAAGATTCCCCGGAATACATCAAAGAGATAAAAGTAGATTTTATCCTTCAATTATTGATAATGTTTAAGCCGCCGGCGGAGGGCGTTCACACTCGCAGCTCTTTCACAATGGCGTCGTCCCTCCTTCCCTTGCCATTTGGTATCTTGGATTCATTTATGGCCCTCGATACTTATTATCAGTTTTGTAGATTGTTTAAGGGTTTCATCGACGAAATGTCCTAAGCGAGCGACGAATTGGTTGGTTCATAAAGGTTGGGGGGGTTGGGGCTTGGAATGGACGCCGCTGCCCTCACCGTTGGCTAATGAATACAGATATTATATACAATACAGCACCCTTTTTAACGCTACGTTTTGTATGAAAACTGTCATAGTGTTCCGCTTTACAGGCCGATTGGTTTCCGCTATTTCTGGCGGTGGTTGCTCGTCAGGGTCCGTCAAAAATTTCCCCACTCACATAAATTATATAGCATGACATCCTTACGCGTATTCGAGGTAATACCCTTTCAACTAAATGTTATGTGCGCGCGGTGAATTATCAATAGGCCTCCATCGGCAGCGAAGGCAGCGTCGGCCATGGTACCACTAAGGACCTCAGGTGCCAAATCCACGAACCCATAACCCGTAGCCTTCCATAATACAAGCAAGTCAAGGAGTCCGTATTCAATCAGTAATCTTAAATCCTTGGCCAGGTGGGGCTTGCAGCGACACTGCACCTCCCAATGCGATCAAGCACACCGAGGCGTTAACGCGTTCAAGTCACGTTAAGTTGAAATAAGCACTGAATAACCCTCCTATATTGACTCGCACAATCCCGCATGGATTGCCAATGAACTGTAGACTATCTGTAAAAGATCGGCGGTTAGGGTTAGTTTGTTGAAACGCGCTTACAATTGTGTGATCCAATTGTGGCGTCCTGACTAGGTTAATTTCTTTCCGGGGTCTGATTGTTACTGCATGACTCATAATTATTTGTTCGGCTCTACAACATTCCGTCCTCAGCTTGCCCGAACAGTAAGCGCAACCCCTTACGGATAACGGGTTCTGGCGTGTAGTAACAAAGACTTTGGGGATCACGTTAGGGAAGATACGTGGAGTGGGTTGGCGGCGAGGAGCGCTGTTGATACCTTTAGCAGCATGGATGCATTCAAGCAATACGATTTTCACAACGATGAGAACTGGAAGGCATACATTCGATCGGTCGAGCTACCTGCGCGCGATGCCGAGGAGGCGATGCTTCGTGTGAAGGCGCGTTGGTACAAGAAAAACATAGACCCCAACTTTGACCTGAACCAAGTCAGTTCGGGGGCGAAAGCACAGCCGCAGCCTCAGAGTAAGTCGGAGACTGGAAGGCTAAGGCCAGAACAAAAAATGGAGCATGCTAGCAGGCCTGTGCGCAAGTTTGCATATGTCAATCCCAGCTGGGCGAGAATAGAATTTCAGGGACGCCATGTTCTGGCCTGTTGCCCTGGCCACTATGCGTCGAACTCAGAGGTTGCGCTTACAGATGTGGGCTGCTAGTCGGTGGCTACAGCAACGTAAGCCTCCATCGCCAGTGCGATGCATACAACCCGTTACGCAGCACATAATGCATTAGTGGGATCCCCATTTAGCCACCAACACAATTTCCCCCAGCCACACCTTGGCCGTTTTCCTATGCCGCATCTTACCACCACCACCCAGCCAGCAGTAAGCGCAGTTAGCCTCACGCACCCGTTCGTGAACGTTACGGCTCCTGCGACCGCATCATCCTATTGCCCATTCCTCTTAGCATGCTCAACCAGGTGGCCAATCCTAGCTCCCCCGGTCTTCTGAGCTGCAGACTCGACTGCCAGCTACAAACATTTCCCTTAGTTTAAAAGGTATCTGCGTATACGCCGCTCGTTCTCGCCATGGCGTCATGTGCCCGCCCGCTGCCGTCGCTGGCCGTCTTGATGCGGTTTGGATCCTGCGGTTTGAATCACACCACGCCTCGGAGGGAGAAAGGGCCCAGGGATGACGGTTTCGGAGCAGCCAAAGGCGTTCTGCCCACAGCTAGATCCCCAGAGGCGCTGTAGCGCTCCAGCGCCGACGGATGGGGCCGTAGCACAGCCTGCACAGCCCCAGCCCCGCAAGGCAGAGTCCTTGGTCCCCATAAAGCTTAGGGGCACAGCTGAATGTTGTTGCAGCGTGGGTGTATGATTGTGGCACATACATGGGGCCCCCCCCATTGCCCCTTCCCAAAGAACACTTCCCCGCGAGGTCCTTGGCTTGCAGCTTGGCCGGCATCACGCCCCTGTCATGCGGGTTTCTTGAGTATTTCTTTTATCTTTCTTCACCATTTTTCATATACGTTCTTCGTGCCTCGAACCTCTTACCGTGCGCTTTCCTCAGGCGCTCGAGCGTTCGGCTCTGGCGGCGCCACGTCCGGCGCGCCTGCCGCCGCAAACAGCGGTACCGGCAGTGGTACGACGTCACGCGGCAACACTGAGTACACCCCCCGGGCGCCGCCGCCGCCGCCGCCGCCACCACCTCGGTATGGCGCCGCCAGCAGCGGGACGTATGGAGGTGTCAGCGCCCAGCAGCGGCTGTTCCTCATGCACGTTGGAATGCTGTTGCTCGGAGTTTTTGTTGTCGTACCATTCCTGCCGTACAGCCGTCTAGGATACGTGTACCTGATGCGGCTATCCATTTTGGCGCTGGGCTACAAGATTTATCTGCAACACGGGTTACCGTCCTTTCGTCCTGTGAGCATGATGACGGTGAGTGTGTGTGTGTGTGTATGTGTGGCGGGAAAACGAACGACGGCTTTTTTTGCAACTATGTGAAGGCTTGCCAGTGCGCTTAGGACTCGTCGCAAGAAGCAAAAAGGGAAGTTATTAGCGTAAAGCCTTTTATTACTTTAGCCGTCTTAGCAGCAATTAAGTTGTTCCAAAGCTGAGGTTCTCTAAGGTAGGGGGTAAGGGTCGTAGGGAGATTGTGTTGATTGGGGCTTGGTCATTCATACCATTCATACATACTTGCGAGCTGACCAGGAACTAAGTTGAGGCGCCGTTGATCCGCTAGACTTGGTTGGATGCTGGTGGTGAGTTGCTGAACCCAACGAAACATTCTGAAGTTGGATGGGGTGAACGGATTAGGGTGCCCCTCTAGCAGGGGAGAGCAGGGAACTGCCTCGGGAAAGGGGCCCGCTGGTGAAGCTGTAACAACCACCCTGTAACAACATACATACATATAGGTTAGGCACTACTGGTAACGCGCGACCATTGCCCCCGGGAGATCCCGGGATTGAGACCTATCAGGGTCGAAAATTCTTCCGATGATGGAAGGTCTTGCGCTCCTATTCGATGGACGGTGGTGACCTTGGATAAAGTTAACCTACGAGCCGACCAGAAATGGAGTTGGGCCGCTGTCGAGCCGGCAGATTCCGTTGGATGCTGGTGGTGGGTGCGGAACCTGAGCGATCCACTGAGAAGTTGACGAGGGTGAATGGATGAGGGTGCCCCGAAATACTGAGGAAGGCATGGTTTCGCAGGGTAGCTGCCACGGGCGGAGATACACCCCCCTGTTTCACACACATCATACATACATACGGACAAGGAAAGGTGTCGTCACCTTTGGTTTAGACTGCTCCAGTCGATTATTCGACTCCGTTACGTATTTCCAGAGGAGCGCGCGGTATAAGACATACAGACATATAGACACAGACAGACAGACAAGTACCCAACAGCAAACTTAACAACTACCTAACTACCTAACGAGCACCCAACAGCATAATTGCCAACTACATTAACTACCTGCACACAGGCCTGGTTCCAGCGCGTGATGCCCACATCGGACTTCCTTCAGCTCATAACCGCTCTGAGCTTCTCCGCCCAGCCGCCCATGGTCCTGGTGGCCGTGCCGCTGCTGGTGCTGGCAGCCTACCATGCAGCCGCCTACTGCGCCGCGCACTTCTCCAATCATGCTCTGTGGCAGCGGTACGGCAGCCGCCTACACGTGGCGATGCTTCGAAAGCAGGTAGGCGGTCTGAGTGCGCCCGGTGCTCACCCCCGGGTCGCGGGAGAGGGGGAGGGGGAGGGGGAGGGAGAGGGGGAGGGGGAGGGAGAGGGGGAGGGGGAAATCATATGCTGCAAGGAATGCAGATAAATGACCTGCTGCCTGAAGGCGTCAAAAAAAGAAGGAGAAGTCAGGGATGAGGGAGGCAGGCGGACTGAGGACCGGGCCAGGCTGTGATTTAAGCGCGCAGGCGGAAATGGTGTGTGTGCGTGTGTGTGTGGCGTGGTGTGTGTGTGTGTGTGTGTACGTGTGCCTAGGGGGTTACTGCAGGGACTTTATGTAATCCCACGCAACCCCTCCCTCCTTCGCCAGGCCGACGCGCTGCTGCTCAACGCCTTTTGTGAGATCGGTACCGCGGCCTTGTTGGTGCTGCAGCTGCTTACACCAGCTCGCAGCCTCCTCACTCTGGTGTTTTACGGACAGATTCTGAAGCTCAAGCTGCACGTGCCGGACAGCGCACCGCAACATCGGCAGGTGGGAAAAGGGGAAAGGCGGCGGGAGGAGGAGTTGCGGGGTTTGGGGATGTGTCTCCGACTCCTTCCTGTTCCTGGCTTTACTTGGATATCCGTAAGACAGATACATAAACAGACTTACTGTCATTGTATGGCATATAGACAAACAGACAGGTAGGCAATGGCATCATCGGGGTATGGCATCAGGGTTCCAGAGCTGTGTGAAATAGAGGAGCAAGAGTTGTGCTGGAATATCATTGACACTGGAGACCGTCTGGCTTGCCGATGACGTCAATAATAGCCGGCCGAGAGCCAGGCATGGGAAACGCGAGGCCCTCTATTGCGGGCTAGGGTTCTCTGGGGAGATCATTTGAAAAAAGAAAGAGTTTAAAGTTTCGACTTAGTAATTAAGCTTCGTAAATATGGGATGTAGGGCACCGCAGGGCTATGTGTTCGTTCGTGTATATTGTGGAGACGGGCATCCTTCCCGGCGCATGTCGAATCGTGGCTTTTAGGGGTTGTAGTATTGCCCTTGGCCCAAGGGCCTTGGGCCTTCGGCTCTTATGGGTAGTCTTACAGGTATGGGGTCACGCACCCCCAACCATGTAACACACACACACACACACATGTCGAATCGTCTCCACGACTTCTGAGCTTACTAGCGCGAGCTACACTGCAACTTGTTCCCCATCCCATCCCCTAAAGGGGAACAAGCCATTTTGGCCCATCACGATTGGCCGTTTCGCCATCACTGCCTCAGGTCTTCATGGGCGCGTTGCCTCATGGCCTGCCTTGACCGATTTCTACTGACTCCACTGACTCCTCCGCCCCGCCTTCGCAAACCCGTATCACGGGGCTGCTGACCCTGCTTTGCAGGTTTGGCGGAAGATTAATGACCTCACGTTGCCGTACAGGCGTCAGGTCCCGGCGCTGGAGCGATTCATCCAAATGGCCATCCGCTGGTTCGCGAGCGTGCCCGGGGCGCGTTAGCTTAGAAGCGGTTGGCAAGTTCGCTGGTATGAGTTGGAGTACCGACCTGTAAAACGGGTTTTGGGATTCCGTTAGGCCATGTGCCGCCAAAGCAGGACGCTCCTTCTTTTTTACCCGTCTCGCCGCGTAGTTGGCCTGGGTTGGGTTGGGTTGGCTACTGCTTGACGTGGCGACGCGCGGCGTGATGCTGACGAAAAGAACGTGCGACAGGGGCGCCAAAGCGTGATGATTTGCATCATTTCAGCCGGTCGAAAGCCCGTATCATGCGTTTTGATAGATGGGCTCTGGCAGCGCTGGTGCTTGTGTGCCTGGGAGCTCTGTCGTCAGGCTGTGCGGCGTTTGCAGTCCACTTCCTGCGAGGCATGGGCATGGTCGTCCGATTCGGAGGCCTGAGGTCCACTTCGTGCGTATAGTACTCATACCGGTGGGATATATATTAACACGTCGACGGATGAGGAAGGTAGAGGGTCGCAGCACGGGTAAAAAAAAGGAAGAGGGACGGCCGCGGTTCGTACGGCTGGGGGAAGGGGGAGGGACGCGGAGTTGCTTGGGAGCTCTGATCTACCTTATTTGATTCAGGTCATTTGCAATCCGTTCATTTTCCTTACAAAGCCATTTGCTGCTGTTTGATTTGTTCGAAGTATATTCAGCATCAGCAGCAGCCCAAATGGCAGGTTAGTGTTGTTATAGCAGCGTGTTCCTCTCGGACGAGAAACGAACGGGCAACGGAGATCGAAGCACTTCGCTGTTCTGGCTGGGATCTCGGAAACAGCGAGAAAGGGGACCCGGTAGCTCTGCCACGGATGCAACGCAAAAAGGGAAGATAACCCGGGGACAGCTTTGAGCGCAAAAGGTTGTCACTCAGAAGTGTAGTTTTCTTCCCTTTGTCAAGCGTGGCTATGTCGAAAGCAAGTCGTTGTTCTTATAATGAGTATGAGATTATCGCGGATCCTCCTGACAGCGTATGTTTTAGAATCCTTCCATCTGGCGCAGGAGGAAGCTACGGTTGTAACAGAGTTTGGAAGCTTGGCCGATTTTTTACAACCTCATCGCCACCAAGTTTGCTTAAAAGGCACTAAGGATTCAGTTTCCTATCATATTAGCATTGAATGTACTTCGGCATCTTGTCGATGGCCAAAGATAAGGAACTGCTTTTGAGTTCGCGTCAGCTCGCCCACAAGAAAGGTCGACTGATGCAATCTTCCTTCCTACGAATCGCGCCAATTGCGAAAATTATAAAACATTATAATCTATGCTAGAAGCGTGCTCCTGAAGGGCTGCAGGTTGCTGAAGCGTGCCATATCACGTTTGATGTGTTCGAGCCATCGAGGCACCTCGACAGATCTGAACTAACTTGGCCAGCAGAAGGCCCTGCAATCGTTCAATCCTGATTTTTTGATCCTAAGCATGATTAAGTGACACTGTTTTATTACTTGTAACTCGATATTCTGCACACAGCTACGCGACTTCTCTCAGTACCAGACAGCAGGCAACGAACTGCAAATCAGCAGCATGGATTTATCCCGCTTGCCTAAACTTCTTTCATTTACAGCATATCTCTGCTAGAACCAGGTGCTCATTTGGCCAACTAGTGAGCTGTCTGAACGCGCGGACAGAGTGCTGCCAAGGCGCCGTCATTCCTGGTCCGCATCCACAACTATGCAGAACGGCTTAGGGCATTTCTGGGGACAAAGTTCATGATCTCGGCGCCATTTTGTCCATCAAGTTGAATCGAATCCAGCAAAGGCAACACGCGTGAAGAAGTCGACGGCAAGCTGCAGCTCGACTTCACATCACTAAGTATTAAAAAAGGAGAAATATCCATCCTTACAGACAGCAAGCGAGGAAAAGCGAGAGGTGAGGAAGGTCGGTCGCGTCTCCAACGCTTTTGGACGATTCGTCCTCCTGCTGAAAAGGTCAGGCGCCGAAATAACACGTCAGATGTGCATTCTCCAAACCAAGCCAAGCTTTGGTTCGACGCTGTCATGGTTCGCGGCGGGTCACGGCGGCCTGACCAGCAACAGGAAGGACAGGAAAAAGGCAACTTTGCGCGGCGAACGCGCACGATTATGATAGCGCATCGACTTAAAACTTGGATTTCTTGAAAACAAACTGTCAGGTGCTTCGAGTCTGCTTTTACCTAAGTCTGGTGCATTGCCACTAGTCGTCGTCAGGAACTCTGGGCAACAAGTCCTTAATACTCTTCGTGCGCACGACGGAGACATACTGCACGGCACGAGGGCCAGTGCTCACCGCTGCCGCCACCACAGTACATGGAGCCCATGCGCACGATGCGTCAGCCATGCCGCCCAAACCCTTCCCTCCCGTCCCTCCCGTCCCTCCCTTCCACCCCTTCCACCCTGCCCCCTCCCCTCCCCTTTAGCATCAAAATCCTTATTAGCATCTGCCAGCATATACACGGCAATGCCCCCGTTTGCACCTTTACCCACATAGCATGATGGACCATTTGCGCGCTGAACATGGCTTAATGAATCATGAAACGTTTTCCTGGTGCTATGCTAACCTCGACACACCTGCTGGATTCCCCCCGCTCACAAACTTCCCAATAATAATGTTCTGCAGCCTCCATGAACCGCCACGAGCACTACTCGGCATTGGGCAGTGCCGTCGGGACGCCGCAGGCCCATCACCATTCCAGGAGCAACTATTTAGCGCCGTCTTCGATATCTCCGCCTTCGCTACCATCATCTTCTCAACCACCGTTTTCGCTACCACCACCTCCGCAACAACATCATCAAGAACGTGGCCAGCTTATCTGGTCGCAGATGGGCATCGAGCATGAAGCTAGGCTGCTGAACCCGCCGGGACGCTACGACAGCGACGTGATGGTTTGGAGGGAACTTCCACAACATGCCGCCTCCGCCGGGGCGCCCAACACCGAAGCGGCGACTCCGCGTGCTTCATCTTCATGGGTGCCGGAGTTGGCGATTCCGGGGGTGGTGGGGAGCGCAGCGGCGGCGGCGACGACGATGGGCCGCAGCGCGGTGGCGGCCCCAATTGCAAGCGGTCCATATCGCAATGTTACACTAGCCGCTTCGCCACCGGAGCATCCGCAGGAATATTCGCCACAGCTGCCTCTGCAAACACTGCAACTACCACGGCGCTCGCTGCTGCCGCCGAACCCGCAGCAACCGCTACCACAACAGCAACAGCAGCAAATCGAACTGGTGCCGGTCGCCGCTGCCGCTCGGTCGGCGGAGTGCATGTCAGGACAGTCTCTGCCGGGTTATCCCGCGGACTATAACGGCTACAGAGGGATGCCGTGTTCGGAGCCCAACAACGCCGCGAGCAGCAGGTATTATTAGGTCGTCGAGTGCGCCTCAGCTAGCTGCTGACCTTGCTAGCGGGACTCGTTGTATTTGCTGTGCTCATAGGGCTGTACATTTGGTTTTAGGCAGGGGGGCTTTGCTTCTTTGTACCGAAAGCACGTGTGTATCCAGGATGTGCGGTAGACGTACGCACATAAGTGTATGGGGCGTCTCGTGGCGGCACATTGCGCTTAAAAATAAGCATCCAATACATATTTTGAAGGGTAGCGCAACTCAAGGAGTAAGACACAGAACAAACATGGCCAGATCCACTTTACGCCACACGCCCACCTCTGCTTGCTTGCTACCCCCGAAGTTCATTTTTCTTGTCCTCAACCTCGGCTCTCTTCTCAATCGCGCGGCTGACTGATTACATGTGACTATAGATGTTGCAACGGTGTGCCAGGAGAGCCAAGGAAAGCCATCTCTGAGGGCCTCTCTCTCTTTCGGCTGATTGAATTGTTTTCTAATCATTTATAAATCATGCCATTTATATTATGTTTTTACATGCACAAAGACACATATAGCTCACTCTGTGCAGCGCGCCTGCTCCGTTCCCTGTTCCGCCCTTGGCATCTCCAATCCGCACGAATCCCGTCCACTTCTGTTCAAAGAACTCCTGACAGGCCTGCTGTCCACATCAAACTGTCCATGCTTCCAACACACATTATTCTTCTAATTTTTTCTTACTCCGAGCTGCGCTCCTGCCATTATAACCGCCGGCTCCTGCCCCGCCAGGATATTTGAACGTCAGCAGTTGACCCCTTGCTTCTTGCATGTGATTCCCCACTCCGGTGTTTCTACATGCCCCTGGTCATAAGGTATTCTCTTCCCTTACAGTTCGTTGCCACATAAGCCTTTCGGCCAATCAATAATCAGGACGACTGTAACTCCATCCCATTATGGTCAAACCTCGCTTGGAGATCCGTCTCTTCAAGTCTTGATGACATAACGCGTCATCACGTGACATCACAACAGTGCCGCATGCTTGAGCCAGACCTGCGCACACATAGTACGAAGCAGTCGGCCCTTAGGTTCTGTTGTAACAGTTATGTCCCACACGGGCCCCATGGGCTCCACAACATGCTTTCCAGGTGCCTCCCCGGCAGCGAGTCATCCTGCGGCCCCTATCCCTTTGGCTTAGACCGCCACGCCGCCGGCTTAGGCGCTGACAACCCGCTATGGGAATCCAGCGCTCAGATGGCCTCAGGCGTGAGCTACGTGTCCTCCGCCGCCGCCGCCGCTGGCGCCGGCGCCGGGGCGGCCGCCGACAGCTGGATGGGGCATGATGGCCGTTTTGTGGAGGACCACAAGGTTCGAGTTAATCCCACTGCCTTGGCGCGCGTGCCGGCATTGAGGCCGCCGCCGCCGCCGCCACCCTCGCCCTTCTTACCGGAGATTGCCGTCGCACCCACGCCCGGCTTCGAGCCGCCACGGCGGCCACTGCTACCGCAACAACAGCAGCAGCAGCAGCAGCAGCTAGGGATGCATGGCGGAATGCCAGGCGGACCGCCACCGCCGCCACCGCCACCGCCACCAGGATCTGGACAGCAGTCCCGGCAGCCATGGGCTCCGTTGCCCAGATACGGCCAGCTAGGACTACTCCACCACCACCACCGAGCAGCGCTGCCCCCGACGACGTTGTGCAACATCCCACCACGGGGTCTCAGGTCGCCCGACCTGCAAGGTACGGTGTTGCTGTCTGCTGTCTTGATGTCTATGCTCTATCGCTGTATCTTGTCTTGGATGAATGAATGAATGGATGGATGGACGATGTTGCAGGGGATCCGAACAGCTCACCGGTGTGGCCTGCACATAAAACACCCTGTAGGCTATATTGTGTGTGTTACATGGTTTGGGGGTGCGTGACCCCATACCTGTAAGACTACCCATACGAGCCGAAGGCCCAAAACACTCTGTAGGCTATATAAAGATATGGCCCTAGGAAGTACCGCACCAGGCGGGCCCCGCACCAGGGCGGGGACAGCACCGAGAATCGACAGAACCGCCCTGCCCTGCACATCTAAAGGCCCATTGGGGGCCGAGGATAAGTGTTTCACCGAGGGGGAAAAGTAGCCAACAGTGGGGACCCCAACCACGAGGATCAAGAGCCGACCAGCCGAAGGAGAAGTATCACCGTTTTAAAAGCCACTCTACGCCGATAGGACGAAGACTGCAAGGGGGCGTACTAAACCCCAACGTATCTCACCACCCAGCGAGAGTTGAACCCATCATATTGTTATGCGGCAAAAAACCTTAGGGCAGCCATTATTCACCGCATCGAGGTGAACGTGCACACCCTCCAGCGTGCCCTCCTCCCTCCAAAAACCCGCATCATCTGGCTGACTTCAACACACAACCCAACTGTCGCACACGCAACTTCCGAGATCCCAATCCAAATTTATGACGTGCAGCGGCGTCCGAGGACGGGGGGACAGAGGTAGACGGAGAGCGCGGAGGAGGAGGAGAAGAGGAGGAAGCGGCAGGGGATGGTACGGCGGGCTCGGTGGATGGGGTACATGTACATCACGGAAGCCGCGGCGGCTCCGGAACCATCAGGACAGGCCTGGAAAAGGCTATGGGCGCCCGCATGATTGGTCCAGCCGCGGATGGTCGCGTGAAAAAGGATGCGACCCGGAGGGGCGAGACGAGGGAGGTAAAGCACAAGGTCGCCAAGGATCCAGTCCTAGGATCAGGCGGGAAAGGTGGGAATGTAAGGCCGACGGTGGTGTCCGCAAAACCTGCCAAGGCGCTGCCTCCGTATCGTCCATGGCGGGAGGCAGCTACAGTGCAAGCGACAAGGTCGACGGCAGGAATGGCACGTGAGCTGGACGGGGCATTACCGGTGACGTGCAACTACATCGACGGCTGGTTCCTGCTGCGACATCAGTTGGTGGCTTGCGACTGCGTGGGTTGTGTGGGCCCCAATGAGAACGGCAAGAGGGTTTGTTGGACCCTCGTCGGCTTTGAGGAACATGCAGGTGCGTGGGTGCTGGGATATAGCGGGCTGTGTACGGCATGCGTACGGGGCGATATACGTGTTGGGCTGTAAGGAACATGCAGATGCGTGGGTGCAGTTAGTTCATAGTTATTCGGGGGCCTGGGTGGAATTAGTAGGACATTAGTGTTTCTTGCGTATTCGATGATGTGTATAAATAGGGCGGACAGCCCTAGGCTACTGGCCCTCGGGCACTTCGTCGGGGCTCCTATGGACCCCAAACAAAACACACATACACACATACATACACACATACATACACACATACATACACATCTGCAACAAACTCTAGGTTTCCGTACACAAAACGTATGCCGCTGGCAGGCCCACTGAGGACAAAGGAATTGCCAATCACGTGCCAATGACTTTACACTTGAGATAAATGACGTTATTGCCGTACAATAATCCCCATCGGCACAGGGCTGCGGAGCTGGAGGAAGTGGAAGGACAGCGTTCGCCTCAGACGTCCGAACATGGCGGCGGCGGTGGCCGCGGCGGGGTCGGCGGCAGCGGCGGGGTCGGCGGCAGCGGCGGGGTCGGCGGCAGCGGCGGGGTCGGCGGCAGCGGCTCCGAAGCCAGGCCACCCTGCCGTCAACGACGGCGGTGGGGAATCCATTGGCGCATGGCTTGCACGCCACGGCCTGGTGGCGACGTGTAGCAACAGGAGGCGATGGGAAGTTGACGCGGCGGAGGTCAAGCAGTGCCTTCGGGTAAGGGGGGGGAAGTGAAGGGTGGTGAGGTGAGGGCTCGTGTCACGGTTGCGGTTCATGAGGCGGAGGGTCGTTACTAGAGCTACGTGGGTGCGTGGTGGTGAGGAGAGGCGACGAGAGAGGCTGGGAGGACGAGGGAGCCCAGAAGGAGACGGGAGAGGGACACGCACACGCTTGGGTTTCACCCAAGTTGGCGTTGGGTGTTCGGTGTTCGGTGTTCAGCGTTCGGCAACACCCTTCCAATCTGTAACCCCTCTTCCAATATTTCCTTTCTTTCTTTCCTTTTTTCAGTCAGCTCTTCCTCGCTTCCGTTCGCTTTAGTTCTACCACAACTTTTCCATTCTCCCCTCCCTCGCCAACGAATTCCCGTGGCGCAATGCGTTGAATCTGTCCCTTCCCTCCCCTAGGCCCCGACCAGGAGTGCCAAGTCAGCAGTAGCGCCGGCGCCGGCGGCGGCCCCGTCCGACAACACCACCGGCGCCCCTGGGAAAGCTGCAGGCTCCGCTCCTCCAGCGACCCACAAAATCGCTGTTGCAGCAGCCATAGCGGATGCAGTGGAGCGAAAAGGGGCCCCAGTCGCGGCAGTTGGAACGCCGCATTCGAAATCGCCGCCGGCGCCGGGAGGTGAAGGTGGGCCCAGCGGCTCCGGCAGCATGCCTCCACCGCCGCCGCCAGCCGCAAAGCGACCGAGGCTTGACATTACGGCTACCACTGGCCCTCGTGCTGAACCTCTCGAGGCCGAAACCGCCACTGTCGACGACGACTACTCATTTACCGACGACAAGGCTGGCCGATTTGAGGTCGGGATTGTAAATCCTGACGTCGATGTGAGTGGCTGGGAGGGTCTAGAGCCTGTTGTTAAGCGTAAGGGAGGGAGGTTAGAGGAGGAGACGAGGAGGACAGAAGCACCGCACATCATTCCTTAGGGAAACATTTTAAAGATCTGCTGATTTAATTTTTTGACATGTAAACAGGAAAACACTTAATGAATAAGGCTCTGACTCCAGTTAACATTTTAAAAAATCCATCTTGGAAATTCGAATTCCTCCTTTCCGACTTTTTCCTCGCTTTTTACGCTTCCATCCAGGACCAGATTCCGTACTATGCCAACCCGCCTGGCTTCAAGTTTGTAGTTTGATAGCTGAGAAGGCTCAAGGTGAGGGGGGTTCCGTAATAGGGCCAGAAGTGGCGGCAAGGTTTTTCCGGATCGATTCCTGCACAGAGCGAGTAGACAGATGTACCTGCAAGTACGGGCATTCTTCCCGGCTCTGGAGATGTATGAGCTTCCTCTTTCCTCTCTTCGCCTTCAAGTCATCTCCTCTCTCCTAAAACCCTGCACTACTCGAAAGCCTTCCCCACCATTACCACCACTACGTACCCCACTGTCATCGATATCCCGCATCTTCCCCAACCCCCCTCCCCCTCCGTCCCCCTCTCTGTACGACACACGGGGGCTACCCCCGCCCCGTCATAACGTTTTCCCTTCCCTCACGCATGATCCAGTTAAACACCTCTGCCCCCTTGCTTGCGGCTGCCTCCAATCATTTACTGTCAGATCCACGTCGAATTCATTCATTCATTCATTCATTCATTCATTCATTCATTCATTCATTCATTCATTCATTCATTCATTCATTCATTCATTCATTCATTCATTCATTCATTCATTCATTCATTCATTCATTCATTCATTCATTCATTCATTCATTCATTCATTCATTCATTCATTCATTCATTCATTCATTCATTCATTCATTCATTCATTCATTCATTCATTCATTCATTCATTCATTCATTCATTCATTCATTCATTCATTCATTCATTCATTCATTCATTCATTCATTCATTCATTCATTCATTCATTCATTCATTCATTCATTCATTCATTCATTCATTCATTCATTCATTCATTCATTCATTCATTCATTCATTCATTCATTCATTCATTCATTCATTCATTCATTCATTCATTCATTCATTCATTCATTCATTCATTCATTCATTCATTCATTCATTCATTCATTCATTCATTCATTCATTCATTCATTCATTCATTCATTCATTCATTCATTCATTCATTCATTCATTCATTCATTTGTGGTTAGGGACTAGGCTGCCCAAATGTCGCTTCATCCCCTCCACCCTCCTCCTCGGGTACCTGGGCGACGAGACGAGTGTGCTTCAATTCGAGCTGACAACGCCGCCAAAATTCTTACTATCATATCACATTCCTCTTAACATTGTCATTCTCACCTGCCTCATGCCCCTTCACGGCAGGGTCGGGGGGCCCCCCACAGCTGTCATAATTCGAGGAGGTTGCCGTACGTGCACATGAGGAGGGCAACCTGATTATTCAGATATAATTACTCGAGTATACTCGGCCACGTGGCATTGTGTGTGGCATTTTGCCGCTACACGTCATCTCTCGTCACCCAACAGCTTTGTACCCCCGTACCCGGGTAAATATACCACCCTGTAACAACATACATACAGCTACGACGCTGATGGCCGCGCTGTGAGGAACGCGATTTATGGGGCTTTTATGTCCTGGTGATTGATGAGTCAATACGTGTATGTTGTGGAAGTTTGCCAGGAAGGGATGTGACAACCGAGGAGGCTGTCGCGACAAGGAACGGTCACGCTTGTGGAAGTGATTTTCGAAGATGAGAAGAGCGTCCCGGGTGAGGTGAGGTGAGGTGGGGTGGTGTCTGTGTGCGCACGTAGGTTCCGTTGGGTTGGAAACAACGGTGACGTGATTAACTTCAGTGTAGTCCCCAACATGTCTGATCTGTGATTTTAAGACGTCAGCAATCGTAGCATTTCAGGGTGGTGAATGTGTGCAGTATCCTGCTGCTGTGTGGAAGAAAGGAAAGTAAAGATTACTCCTATAGACCTGAACCCCGGCGCGTGTTAAGTAGTTGGGCCAGGCTTCAGGTGGGATGCATCTTATCAGACGTTGTGCATGGCGTAGCCACCCTGCACCCAGGACGTCTGTCTAGGTTCCCTGTGTCCATGCATGGCGTGTGTCATAAGCATGCATGCAGATGGGTACACAGCCCTGGAGGCCAGGGCGATGGGTGGTGGTGATGAATGGACGTAGACACCTGCGTCACCACGGAGGGTCAAGGAGAAAGAAGACCGGTATCGCTTTACGGCTCCACGAATCTCTATAGTTTGCGCGCGTGTGTGTGTGTGTGTGTGTGTGTGTGTGTGTGTGTGTGTGTGTGTGTGTGTGTGTGTGTGTGTGTGTGTGTGTGTTAAGCGGGTATTGTAGTAACTGATACCCGCCTGGCCGCCGCCTGTCTGGGTCATTTCGAAGCAGTTTGAGGCCTGCCCTGCGGCAGTTCGTAGTGTTTTGTTTACAAGGTAGTCGAGTCTGCTCCTACGCACATGTTTTGTCTCTGCTACACAGTCGTATGATGCGACAGAAAGGGCTGGGCTTGCTGGTAAGAGGCAGGACCTCCGACGGTTCTTCGAGGGGCTTTGAAACATTGTTCAACCGGGAAGAGAAAGTGGAATCTTTGGCGATAGCTATATCCCAAGTGCAATAGCACGTCATAGCATCACCGATCCGGTTGAAAAGGCAAAGTCCCCTGCGGTGTACTGCTCTCTGGTTACGGATGACCGCAGTCCTAGTTATCTCACTTCTTACGAGTATATTGCTTCGTTGATTAGAGGTTTTGGATGAGTCCGCGAGCGTCCAAGTGCGATTACCCTTTGGCATGATACCTGTCTGCCAGGTCCTACCCCATGAATGTTTTTATTGTTTTCGGTACTGCTCTCTTCTTGGCGTTGCGGCCTGGTGACCCGGTGTGCGTGAGGCGGTTGGGAGTTGTCCATCACGGGCAGAAGTCCAGCAGTTTTACGAAGGGTGCAGGGGTGTTGGCTTGACTCCCACCGCCCTAGCCATTGCGGGGAGGAGCGCCTTTGTAGGGAGCTTTGTAGGGCTGTAGGTGTTCCCTTGCTTGGACCTCTGTTTTAGGTTTTTGTCCAAGGCTTCTGCTTTGCGGGTGTCGCTGTCGTTATTGCCCTGTGCTTTCCGTGTTTCGTCTTCTGTCATAACCAGTCCGTTTGTGGGGTGGCGGTCGTAAGTTATTTGTGCTTTCCCGGGCGAGCATGTCTTTCTCCCCTCCAAGGTGGAGCATGCTGCAATGGTCGTCCCGGGCGTGCTTATCCTTCTTTCCTGTCCTGTAATTGGCCTCTACGAAGGAAAATACAGTTTGTGTACTGGGCATTAATCGTGACAGGGCAGCTGGATGAAGCTGAGCAAGAGTTAAGGGATCTTTCGGCGGGTGCCTAGATACAAGCGGGCAGGGGAGCATGCAGCAGATCTGACATAGATGAGTGCACCTGCATAACAACGGCGGTACGTAATGGATTCGAGGGGACTACTGAGATTTCGAAATGGAAGCAAGATTCCTGGTCGTTGCACGAAGTATCAAGATTGATGGTGTCATACGTTTCTCTGCTTGGTCGTTGGAATGGAAGTAGACAGGTTCTGGAAGGCTGCGCAGCTGGCATACATGCCACTCTGATCTCAAAAATTTGCTCCGTTCGTGGCCCTGCTCCCATCTAAGTTTAGTGGCGTGGACGATATGTGGTTTTTTTCACGTGTCAGCGGAAGAGGCAGGGTCGCAGCACGGGTGAAAAAAGGAAGAGGGACGGCCGCGGTTCGTACGGCTGGGGGAAGGGGGAGGGACGCGGAGTTGCATGGGAGCTCTGCAGCACTAAAGTGCTTACTGGGCCATCAGCATCAGCAACAATGTCAATATTTTGCGTGTTATGCTAGGATTGAGAACAAATGAAAGACTGGAGTTGTTCCGCTCCGCGGACCAACCTTGCTGCTAGCCGCGGTCGGATGGATACCACTGGGGGAGGTAGCAAGATACCTGGTACCGTTGCTCAAAAGCATATGGATGGCGACGTGAGTGTATTGCCAGTGCCTGTTTTCGGGCAGCATCGGCCCGAAAACGCGTTATCACCTGACCACTTCACAAATCCTCCTGCGCAACGAAGTTACGCTGGTAGCACAAGTCAACATCGCCTTCGTGGTGTGCACTTTGGAATTCAGCTGACACAGCAAGCTGCTCCTGAGCAGCATCACGGAGGAGTCTAGTGGAGCTGGGTCGTCCGCGCAGCCAAAGGCAACCAAAGCTTCATCGCCAGCCAGCCAACGCCAAGCTTCAACACACTAAATTATTATTTCTGCATAATAATTACGCACCTTGCATCTTACCGATGCCCAAGAAGGAAATCGAGCTGGCTCAATCAGGTCTTCACGCAGACATGATTGGGGCATTGTCCATGCCTGAAGCCAGGCAGATTTGGGCAGCCTATCCTTATAATTATTATTATATGTGCAAAACATGGGCACCGAACTGATTGATCGGTTCGGATCGTGCGGTATCAACTTTGGCGTACATCGAACGAGCCGAGGCGCATCGAGAGATCGGATCAGCGGAAAAGCCGGGCGCAGAGCCGATAATATGCACTTGCTTCAAGGAAAATGCCTCTTAACCTATTTTTTGTCGGTAAGTATCTCCTAAGGCATAGCTGAGCGAGCCTCCCTCAGCACAGACAGCCAAGCAGACAGGCGCAGGCACGGCCGAGCCACAGGCATCCCTTCATCCTGTTTCTCTGCTTATTTTGGCTAACTATCAGTTTAGCTTTAGAGCTCGCAGCTGCCTGGCCAACACGTGACCTGTCAGAGCGCGCGAGCAAGGTGGGTGAAGGCACTGGCGTTGCCTGGTGACAGCCCCAACACTGCATAGCAGGTTAAGCGTTTCTGTGGCATGAATCCTAGCTTGGTTGATCCTAGCTCCATTTCGCCTGTCAGGCCGAGTCGACGCCGGCAAAGGGCCTCCCAAAGGCAACGCATATAGCGAGGTCGACGGCCACAAATTACTGCATCTCTCCATAAACAGGAATACTTTGCAAGACCGGCAGCAGGTGAGAAGCTGCGCGAGATGAGATCGGTCGATCAGAAATCGCGTTTCCGGTACTGTTGGCGTCTGAATCGTTCAATATCGTTCTTCCTTCTGTTGGAAAGGCGAGGCGTCAAAGGTAACGTGTTAACTGCCCGCGCACTAGTAATGGTTATGTCTCGCATCGAGGGCTGTATCGCCTTCTTAATGGGTAGCGGGATCTCGGTTTCTTGGTTGCCAAAAGGATGGAAAGCAGCTTTGCGCGTCTAACGCTTTCGACGACTCGACCGAAGCACGATCTGCGTGTCCTTTCTGGGGTGGAGGGTTACTGCTTCAACGCTTTTTCCTTCCGAAAGCCAACCAACGTACATCATTATGAACAATTATTATGAGAGATAACCAGTCATAAACCTGTTGCTAATGCTGCACACGCTCAAGACGATGCATAACTCACTACCACCGCCGAGGGGACGGCGACCAGGCTCCATCGCTGCTGCTCTAGTCCCCACATGGGGTTGCGCTGTGTGCCAACCACGCCACGTCGCACTTCACCCCCCCTCCCGGTGCACTGCTTCTCCCCCCCCCCCCCACTTCATCCGAGCTTCCCTCCGACGGTTGGACCTGTCTGGGTCCGACGGTTGGACCCAGACAGGTCCAACCACGCCGCAACCGCATAGCTCTGATTGCCGCACGCAGTCGGGCTGCCTCTAAGAAGTCACGAGGCGGTTTTCTGGTCCTAAACCCCTCCCATGCTGCTTTGCCTGGCTCCATGCCTGGCTCCATCACAGGCACGAACTGCCCCTGCTACTGCCCCGTCAATTCAAGCAGGTCCCACGAAGGGCTACTCAGGATCGGAATCGGCCATGGACACAATCATGAAGACGCAGGTCAAGCGGCGCCTCGCACAACCCGCGCCTGGCGGTAGCGACCACGGCAGCGGGCCAAGATCCAACAATGACAGCGCACTAAATGAAACAGGTGTGATGCCTGCAGCAGCAGCAGCAACAGCAGCAGCAACAGCAGCAGCAACAGCAGCAGCAGCAGCAGTATCCGCAGAAACAGCAGGCGGGGCAGACGCAGCAGGGAGTCCTGGGCCCCAAATCGAAAGAGGGCTGCCGCCCGCAAGTGATGCATTCGATGAAGATATGCGGCGGACGGCGCCGGCTGGCCGGGAACAGCAGGCCCACCCTGAGCCGTCACTGCTGCCGCCGCTGCTTCACCTTGGGTTTCGTAACGACAGGAATATACTGGTCCGGAGGGAACTTCCACAACATGCCGCCTCCGCCGGGGCGCCCAACACCGAAGCGGCGACTCCGCGTGCTTCACGGGTGCCGGAGTCGGCGATCCCGGGGGTGGTGGGGAGCGCAGAGGCGGCGACGACGACGATGGGCCGCAGCGCGGTGGCGGCCCCAATTGCAAGCGGTCCACATCCAACAATCACACAGGTCACCTCGTCCTCGCATTACCAGCAAGAGGCTGCGACCCCGCTGCTTCTGCAACCGCTGCAACCGCTGCAGGCGAGTCTGGTGGACTCGTGCACTCGTCGCTTGCGTGAGCCACACGGTCGCGGCAAAGCCTCAAGCCCCTTCGAGTTCGAGCGCCATGCCGGCATGGGCGCCAACAAGCGACAGAAAAGCAGTATGCACGTGGGCGGCTTAGGCTGCGCGCCCTGGTCCTCCTCCCCCCCCAACCCATCTGGCAGTTCGATGAGCCAATGTCGGCTCCTGAGCATCGAAGACATGCGAATCAGAAATGTTTCCTTGGCGCCATCTTGCACCGTCGCACCACTGCTGCCGCCGCTGCCCATCCTACCAGAAGCAGCCGCCGTCGCTGCAGCCAAATCCGAGCAGCAGGCGCAGCAGCAGCAGCAGCAGCAGCAGCAGCAGGCGCTGCCGCCACCGCCGGGTATTAATGTCGTACAGCCAGCCAAAATGGCAGCTCCTCTGTTGCCGATAGGATCCCTCCTGCAGCGCTCGTTCCGAATGCCCAGCTACAGCCAGCTAGGACCCCGCCACCGGGCAGCGCTCTTCCCCGTGCTACCGCCCAACGTCCCCAGGATGGTTCCGCCCGAATTGCAGGGTGGGTTATTACCGCCCGGTTGCCGTATCCTGGTGTGTCGTACTGTCTTAATATTTTCATTGCAGCCGTTGATGTTGTCCTCGTTGATTGAAGGAATTACATTGCGCCAACCGGATCGTCTAGCCCGCACCGAAACTTTTTCTTCTTCATTAATGTTTTGTCGCTCTCTGTCAGAAGCGGCGGACGGGATTAGGCAAGGGAGGGTATGGTTTCAGGGTATGGTTTCAGGGTATCCCCCATCTGGAGTGCCTTTCCTTGCAGTTGCCTTTCCTCGCAGTTGCAGTTCTCGAACGCGCCCGAACACAACTGAATGTGCCCGAACACAACCGACGACAGCCCATGTATATATGAGAGCTATCCTTACCCATTCAGGCTATACGATGGTCGATCATCGCATCTGCATCTACTGGTGGTCCGAGAAGAAGTACCTCGCGGGTACGGTGACGGATTTTGACGATTCGTTACATTATCCGTACCGCATCGACTACGACGACGGTTACGTCGACCACGTCAATCTTAACGAGGAGTCTTGGCACCTAGACGAGCGAGATGAAGTCTCGCTCCCTGCAGCTCTTCTGGCGCGCATACTGTGGTAGCAGCAGTGGTAAAACTGTGACAGCGGCTGCCGCAGCGGATCCCGGTGCTGCTACCTGCTAGCTATCCTCTTTGCGGTTCGGCGCGGTTGATGCAGTTGCTGCAGGTGCGGGTGTAGCTGTCGCAGATGGATTTGCGCCAGCGGATTCGGCGGATTCGGCGGATGGCCCGGACCCGCAGCTGTCGTTCTACCTACTATCAACAGCGGCAGGCAGCTGCCGCTAGAGGTGCTGGTACCGGTGCTCAGCAACCACCTGCTTTATCTTCAACCAGCAATACCAGACTGAACATTGTGAGGTGAAAAGGGATTGCGCTGAAATGAATGTCGTGACAGCGCGTCGAAGCAAGCAACGGCGCAGGGGCGGCTGACGGCTCCAGCAGCGGCGAGGCGAGGTGAGGTGAGGCAGCCACCGCTGACACGGGCACAGTGTCCGCGTGTTTGCCACCTTTCCGGGCGGGGCAAGCTGTTGACGGCTGTGGGTGGGCGCTGCCTGGTGTCCTGCGGCTCTGGGAGCATCGGAGCTGGGAGCATCGGGGACGGCATCAGCTACGTATAGCCAGAGACAGTGGCGGCGGCGGCGGCGGGCCCGCGGCCGCCTCACCCTTGCAGCATCCGTGCCATACATGGCGACAGCGGAGGGGGACGACAAAGACGAAAATTCCGCCGTTGCGTCATCCTTCCGTCCCCCAAATAACCCTTCTCAGCGTCGTCAGGCCTCGCCACTGCGCTAGCAGGAGTTTTCCGTCCTGTTGTACGAGCTCATCAACCTGCTGGTCATTGCAGTGCAACCTCGCAATGCTGGGCACGCTGCGCTGTCGCTCGTTAGTGGTTGCGCAGCGTCACTACACTGCCGCATGCCGTACAGTTTTTAAAGCTCGCAGCAGGTTCACCTGATCTCCAACCACCCAAAGGACCATTTGTGCAACTCAGAGTGAATCATGAGTGAAAGTATTTGCGCACAGGAAGGGAATCTGTCAGTCGAAGAGGTGAGGGGGATGTCACGCATGTGGGATTTAAGGCTGTGCGTCAAAAATATACGCACAGAATATGAGCAAGCGAGAAGAAGGGAGTGAATTATGGTGGATTCTACAGGTGTTTTGAGAACGGGAGTGCATATAATAACTATGCGCAGGAGAGGAAACACATAGCGCATCTGGGGTTCTTCTCCCCGATGGCATCACGGTTCGTTATGATATTCAGATCTCTGGAGGATTCTTTTGCGCCAGATGGCATATGTGGCCGTTTCAGTAGCTGATAGATGGTATTCCCGCTTGGGTAACCTCCGCATGCCCGGCAAGACGGGCAAGATGGCCGGGTTTGGCCCTCTGCGCGGCCGGGTGGAGGGCGGGAACGGCGCAACGATCGCGCAGGCAATCAGCGGCCAGCGGTTTTGGTTGTTGGCCGAGCCAGCAGAACAGGCGCAGCAGGTAACAAGGGCTGAACCGTTCTGGCGGCCATTGATGCGGCATTTAAGCGGCGACTGCTACGAAGGTTACGGCGGCATGCATGGAGAAGGGGTTCTGTCAAGTTCATGGGGGGGTAGGCTGCGGGCAGGATTTCATAAGCTAGTAATGTGACCTCTGATTTCCTGTTGTTCTGGGGGAGCCCTGTATGCACCGGGTTTGTAACCCGGAGTCGGCCCCTCAGGGGTGGGACCCCACGGGACGGACCTCTCGAGCGCACGCGACGGGGGCCGGGCACGGACTAGGCTAGCAGCTATCAGTTCACCGGTGGGGCTAGGGATGCCTCGAGGCAGCACCACACCGGCATAACTCACATAGCGTCACATACCCTTCGCCTGCGACTCCTCCCAAGCCCTACAGCAGCGACCTCTCAAAAATCTTTCCACTGTCCTGCAACCTGTGTGTTTGTGTATGTTTGTTTGCATATATGTGTGCATGTGATTGTATTTGTGTATGTGTGTTGCGCATTGGGCCCAAACTTTCCGGTCCGAGCGAGGAGTGTAACCTTTGGCCGGCAGGTGGTTGCTCACGTTGGCGGCGTTTGCCGTGGCCTTGGGAAAAGCCAGTGGATTGGCGACCACCAGGTATGTGGTGGGGACGCGATTGGCGGCATTTCCCGCTGGCAGCGGGCTGAAGCCACATGCGAGAGCAAGAGGCTGTTATGTCCGAGGCAGATTGCGGCCCGCCGAGTGCCAGCCAGGGGCTTGGCAGACATTCGTAGTGACTGCGGCCGGACCTGCTTGCCGCAGTCACTGCTGGGTCCACTCATACCCACTTGACTGTGGTGGCAGCTCGGATGGTTGTCATCCTGACGTGAAACGCGTGAAACTCATGAAGGCATGGAGGCGATGTGATGGGCCATGTACCTGTTGGCTTGACAGGGTTGCGTGTCAGCTTAGGAGCAATAGTAAGGTGCTTTTTGAGGGCTGATGCTGTGCACTTAGTCGGGCGCAGCTCAGCAGCATGTGACAGGGGGGGCCGGCGGGTCCATGTAGGCGCACTGCAGCACGTTGCGAAGACAAGGGGGTTCAGAAGAAGATGAATCGGAGGCAGGGGGAGGACAGCTGCTGGAAATCTCCCTGGGTAGCAGTGACGTTGTGGGTTTTGATCCTCCAGGAGAGATTTCAGTTACCGAGTCGTTGCATTTCGAAGGCTCTCTATTCGCTGCTTAATGAATTTTTTCCTGCTTGTTTCCGTGGGTTATTCCCACATGCATATAGCATCATGTAGCAAGATGAATGAATAATGGCCTGATGTGGATGTGGGCGGTTCCCGGGTGGCATGGCCGTACAAGACTCAACACGCCACACCCTACCAACAGTCCAAAACAGCACTTGTGGAGTCGTACAGTTGTGCAGGCTGCGGCCGGAGATCAAGTCGGGTCGGGTGGGCGACCGATGGCGGTTAAAATGGCGGAACAACAACGACCGGAAGCTAAGGGGTGAAGCAGGTAGGCGGTCTGGGACGCAGCGGCCTGGAGATCCCTTAGTTATCGCCAGCGGACGGACGCGACAGCGGCGTGAAGCTGCGTGAAGGCTTGAGGCGGCATGCACGAGAGACGCTCGTTCTCTCGTTCTCTCGTTCTTCTTTTCGGAAGGAAGGGACTTCGGCCTGGTCCTCCACGACAAACGGTGTGTTGGGTGATCTAATCTGATGATATCTGGTACACGTCTTTCTTCATGCATTCGTATCCCTAAGGCTGCCCCGATGGAACTGAGACCGACCCTACGCGGCGGGGCCCCGTCATCCGGCGCTGCAGGATTTATCCAGTAGTGCGGTAAACTCATGCATGTGTTGCGCGGTGGTTTTGATGTGTGCGGGCTGTAGAGGCTGTAACCGGGCATGCAGTGGGACACGATTAGGTCGTTCTGTAGGCCTGAAAAAGCCAATTATCCTGCATTACAATTGTTTCGGTGGTTCTGTGGCACGGTGGCTCTGTGAGGATCTCGCTTCGGTGTTTGATCGAGGTGATACGTGATTGGGGCACGCACCCGACAGTGCCTGCGTGTTATGTACTCCGTGCACAGCCAAGTAATAAGCCTGGGAGAGGGTGTCCGTGTTTGGATAGCACGGGCACTCGTCTGTGATCTTCATCATCCTGGGCCCCAGACGCAGGCCGTGCCTTTGTGGTCCGCCCCTTAAAAATATCGGGCATGGACAGTGGTTATTTACCGCCATTCTGGCCGTAGTGTGGGTTAGGCTCGCTTTGGCAGACCTTCTTTGCCAGCCGATTTAGTGTTTGGCGGATAAGCTACAAATTATAAATTACCACACATATGGAGGAGTGTCCTGCTGCTGCTGAGAATATGGCCGCGACTGCTGGAATTGAGATTGGGCTGTTTGGGTTGCCGGGCGGGGGGCGAGGGTGAGGGTGAGGAGGGGTGTCTGTGTAAGCTGGGAGCCCCATGGCTAGCTTCTGGCTGCAAGTGGGCGGCAGCGTTATTACCACAAAGATCGGCATGTGACGGCACCCAGCAGTCGGAACTTAGCGGGAGATGTCAACAGTTACGGCTATCAGGCCAGGTAGTACCTGCCAAAGATAGCGCTCGCTATCTGGGCTTGGCATATGGGCCAGAACGGCCTTTTAGTGCGTGCCGTCAGCAGTTGTGTGATACAGGTCGGTCCGCTATGTTTTCCTTAAGCGCAAAGCTGGACAAAATGAAGCTGTTTGCCCCCGATGTGCGAATGCGGTGTTTTGCAACCCAAGTCCGAGCAATTCTGTTGTATGGCTGCCAGGCGTGGGGCCCTTTTGCGCTGGCAGAGGTCGTGGACAGGGCGGGAAGGCGGCGGGATAAAGCCAACCTTGCGGAGGGCATGTTCGAAGCCTGTTTGAAGGATAGTGCAGTCCAGCTGCAGATTTTATTCATGAGGCAGGTAGTGGGGACGGCACGGCCATCCCACAGGCTGTTGTACGCGGAGCTGGCTGAACTCCCCTTACAATATTACATGGTGAAGCAGATTCTCCGTTTCTGGAACCGCCTTCAAAAGCAAGTGGGATCCATTGCTCATGCAGTTTTACGGCAGGAGATAACCGATGCCCTGACCAACCCGGAATGGGAGGGTTGGGGAATCTCAATGTTACGACTGTTTTCCTTCTTGGAGTGCAACATTTGGAGCGGAATACCGCAAGAAGTCGTGGGGGTAAAGGAGCGTGTTGACTGGTTGTTGAGTAGACCTCTACCAGAAGGAGCGATAATAACGGCACTAAGAGAGCGTTTGATGAGCGGCTGGGACCATACGCGTCTGACTGTCTTGCCAGAGGAGTACCCATCAGATGGGAAGCAACCGGGAGTGCAAATGGCGAAGTATAAGCACTGGATGGGGCTGCCCTTTTCGGGAGCCGCAGCCGTCATGTGGCCAACACATGCTAATGTTTTCATTCCTCGTTTAGCACATCGTAAGCTAATGCGGTTTCGTTTATGTTGCTGGGCTTTGGAGGCGAACAGAGCACGAAGGGGCAAGTACCATGTTCCCAGGGGGCAGCGGTTTTGCCACTGTTGTGGTCCTAATAGCCGAATTGAGGATGAAAAACACGTGTAATTGGAATGCCCAGCCTATAATGATATTCGTGCTGAAGAGGGATTCGATCATCAACAGAGTATGTTGGAGGCCATGCAATGGGAACCCGCACGCCTGGCGAGGATGTTGGAACGTATGTGGGCTCACCGAAACTCAATTACCCCCTTTGGACGCTAGTCTGGGCTGATGTGCGGTGTTTTTTTTCCTTTTCTCCGTGGCTTTTAGGCGTTGTAGTATTGCCCTTGGGCCTTCGGCTCGTATGGGTAGTCTTACAGGTATGGGGTCACGCACCCCCCAACCATGTAACACACACACACACAAAGATCCGATCAGATCCAGGAGCTGTAACGTCTTCACTTGCTAAGCGCTCCTGGATCCCGACAACAACAGGAGCATAAAGGGAGACATCTCCGCAGAACTCGAACTTGATCACTGGAAAGCGCACAAATCGCTCCAACTGTCCTTCCTAGGCAATCCAAGTGGAAGGGGAAACCAACTGCTTGCCTCAGCGGTTCGGCTCCTAAGCAGGACATTCCATCAGCACTTGGTCGTAACGTATCTCCCTAGTGTAAGTGCGGCCTGTAGACAAAGCCAAGGTAACGGGAGATTCCGAGCACTCATGCGGTCGCCCTGCTTCAAGCCATGCGTCAATCGTCCGCGCAAGTGTTGCGGTCTGCTTACTGAATTGGTTCCTAAACCGAAAACCAGTTGTGCCCCAAAATAGTGCAGCGGTAGCTGCGACGTTTCTGCGAAAGTTTGCCTATTGGGAGGTGGAGCTTTGCACCAACAAAGCAAACTCCCTGAGGATAAGTTTGTGCACATCTACCACTGGATCCGCCTTAGATCTCTAAAACGTTCCGCGATCCTTCGCGAACTTCTGACCCATATTCCCCACCTTGCCGCACCCTCTCCACTCGGTGGTCCTGACCCTCACCGCTGGCACCATCTCAGCCATTCCGTCGCCCGTCGCCTGCCCGTTGTCGCAAGTACCTCCCAGATAGCGTCTGGACCTAGCACCTCTGTAACGTACGACAGGATCGGTCGGAGTTGGGCCTTACAGCGCTGCAGCATAATGTCGGCAGCTGGGATCTGAAGGGGATTCGTTTCTGTATGTATGTGTGTTATACATGGTTGGTGTTGCGTGACCCCCATACCTGTAAAACTACCATACGAGCCGAAGGCCGTTTCTGATTCATGCGGCAGGAGTCAAAAGCGAGCCCGGATCCATAGCAAAGCTCAAGGTATTTCGCGCGTTCCTTGAGCTGGAGGGGCTGGCCTGCGAAAGCCAGACCCTCTGCATCTCTGCTAAGTGCATCATGCACTTAACAAACATGAAGATCATATGAACCTGGGGTATCCCCGACTACCTATCGTGGGATTATGCGCTTGACCGAATCTCCGATCATTTCTCATTAACCATGCCAAATAGGACAGGGCTCAACGGGCAGCCCTGGTTTACCCCCTGCTCTGACTCAGAAGGCTTCCCGAAACAGATATAGATCTAGGATCGTTAGCATCATTTGATATAACAATCAAAGTTAAATTACTGATGAGTATATTGGCTATAATATTTTAAGTAAGATTTCCACCATTAGAATTCTGAATATAAATTTTGTTAAAAACCAACGAATAACTTGCAAGAAGCAAGGATTTTACAATAGATTTATGATTTACAAGCTTTGTAATACTGCTAGCTTTGTAATACTGCTAGCAAAGGTCCGTCTGCTGTTGGCCTTCACACGTAATTTTTTCACCTTGCCATAGCAGCGCTGAATTACTTCTAATAGCATTTCGCCCGACACCCCACCTTCTCTCAGCGGCGCCCACAGAAAGTTGCAGTCCACCCCTTTAAAAGCTTTCTTGAAGTCTATCCGGCACACCAAGAGGCCATATTGTCCCGGCCCTTGTGTGACGTATGAGAACTGGCGTTATGAAATTAATTAGTGTTGCATGCCCAGACCCCCTCGGAATCCAGCCTGACACCAGCGACGTACTGGCAGGGTCCATGGCTCCGATCCTGCGAACTTAGACAGGGCTTATAACCTGTAAAACACAGCTAAGGGCCGTACCCCTCCCGGGTCCTATTATTGCTTCCACCATTTCCTGGTATATGTGTCGATCACTTTAGGGTTTTAGAGTTTTTAGAGTGTTCAAATTGTCGCCAAGCCAGTGGTTTTAATTCTGATGTCAATCAACACTGGATTTACCTGAGGCTCTAACTTTACGCTGGACATTAAAGCAGCTTCATCCTTGGTTGGTGCTTCGGGGCGGTTTTGGCATACCGTCGCACCTAATATTCGTTCTCTGTTATGCCCACTCTCCGGCCCCAGTCCTCGCCCATGAAATGTATGTCCAATGAAACGCAGGCTACTCTTAACTATTTAAACTTACCATCCATACACCCATTAGTCCTCCTCGTTTAACCTGCACATAAGCGGTAAGCAGTCGTCCCTTCGTTCCCCTACACGACATACCAACAGCACAGCGCATCACACCAACCACCGCACACGCAACCCCCTCAGTCAGGACGGCGTCTCCAGCAGCATGTATTTCCCCCTGCCTGCACGGAGAACCTCCCGCTCTCTCTCCTTGCGCCCCTCTGACTGTCCTCAGATCTGACCCGCACCTACGCCAAAAGCCGTGCACGTGCGTGCGCAAAAATCCACTCGGCGGGGCTCCCGTTTCCCTTTTTGCTAGCTGCTATCCCGTGGTTGGGCCTCCACCAAAGCTATCCTCCACCCGAGGAGAACCACCAACCAGGACTAACGACCTAACGAATGACGAAAGCACCGTCCGCTTCAGGGCAGAAATTGGAAGCGATCTGGGCTAATATTTACCAAGTCTCCACACACACGTGTGGATAGCGCACCCTAAGCACACTACCCAGCGTGAAACACTCGACAGCTTGCTAGGCCACACGCTCACACGCACACGCCGCGGCTCGTTTCTGTAAACACATGCACGCATAGGCCCGTGCCGTACGGCACTGTGCAGCACCGCACCCCGCACCGCATAGGCCAGCTCACGTACCAGCTCTCGTCTGAACATGCACCAAACAAAATGTGGTGAGCTAGGTACGGCAACTTAGGTACGGCGCCATGGACGAGACTGCGTGAGCGCGCAAAACATCCGGAGTCGGGAAGGTGCTAGGGTATGGGGCGACTGAACATCCCCAACAGTCAACCGTTCCCGCCCTGCATCCGCATTTCTCCGTTATGGTGTAGTACGGCCCCGAGATAGTGACACATACATACACACATTCTCACGCCACCAGGCCGTCACAATTCGTGAAAACGCTGTCCACGTCGTCCAACTCCAGAAGCTTCTCCATGAGCGCCTCACACCGACTGAACGCCTCGTCGTCCACCTGACAGAGGTGGGGCATTTGCAGTTCGCGATTTTGTAACACTATTATTTGAATCATATCCTTAAATTTTGAATTCAAATTGATAACCCCTTAATTTGCAGAAAGAATATGCGTTAAACGTATTGCCGGATCAGTTGCCCAACAGGCCGGGGGCAGCCGAGGCTACCGAGCTCGAATTCCAGCAAGCAGCCGGGGGAGTTATGGGTCCAGAGCAGGATGCCCCCAACCCATTCCCGCCTTTCCCCTCAACGCACGCAATCCCTTGCGACTATGTCCTCCCTTACCTGCAAGCACCAGGCCCTACTCCCGTTTGTCAGTTTCCCGCGCGCACCCGCACCCGCACCCTCGCGCTCCTTCCCCCCTCTCTGTTCACCTCCACAGGCGCTGCCGCCTTGTACACCAGGTCGCTGTCCTCCTCGTTCACGGAGAAACCCAATTGCCGCAACGTCGCCTTGGCGGCCGCGAAAGCCTCAACCGGCACGAACACCTGACATGTGGGAGCCAGGGGCGGCAGTGGCAAGTTTGGCCCGGGTAGGGAAGACGCGATTTAACGGAATACGGAAAACACGGTATTCTTACGACATAATGGAGAACAGAACGAGTGCGATAGAGAGGAATAATGACCCCCAATTATCCGTGCTACGGAAACATTCTTGAAGGGCAGAATGAAGTCCAGCAGGGCGAGGTGGGGATAGTGTGGTGGTTGGTATTGGTGTTGGCTGGCTAAGAACGAAAAGTGCAACAGGCATCTAACCCACAGGAAGGACTTGGCGGGAATGGGTGGGTGTAGCCCAAATTGGGGTTTTTAAAGGTGGCGCGAATGGGGGGCCCCCCAACGCATCATAGCATACATGTGGCACTTCCTGTCGAAGAGAGGCATTGGTTTGATAGGAATGCTTCACACGAAGCAGCACCGTGTGCCGCCGTACGGCGGCAAAAGCAGAGCGACCCGAGAGCATCCCTGGAAGTTTTTAAAACAGGTCCGGCGCCATGTCGATGCCATTGCCCAGCCTTCCTCTTTCTCATCACCCCCTTCCCGTCACCGACCAAGCTCCTAGCATCGGCCTCCACTCTCCTCCTGTTGCCGCTCTCCTCTCCCGTCCTCTGCATGCTCTCCTCCTCATCTCCCCCCCTCTGCCTTCCCCTATCGTTCCTCGCACCTCCCTCCGCTCCCCCGACCACAACCCCTCCACTCCGTTCCCTTCCCACTCCAGCAAGTTTCCGCTTCCTCGCTCCTCGCATCCTCCCCTTTTCCCCAACTTGCCTTGTAGCTGGTGCTCGGCTGTCCGTCCTCCTCGGGAGGCACCGGCTCCACGTCGTCCGCACCCGCCTCCATGGCCGCCTCAAACACCGCGTCTTCCGTAGTTCCGTCCACAACGATCATGCCACAACGAGAGAAGTTGAACATCACAGAGCCGGGCTCGGCGACCTGTCAGGAAGGCGGGGCCCGAAACGGGAGGGACTGTGGAATGACATGATCATCAAAGAAGCAAGCCGTGTCGTAGTACATAGCTTGCAGGCAGTGTACCATACATCTTCGACGCTGCAGGGTCACATAAAAAATGCGCGAGGGATACGTGGTGTCGCACAGGTAAAGCCACGCACAGTGGACTCTGGGCTGGGTGAAGTCTAGAACAGGGAGCAGGGAAAGGGGGATGAAGCAGTTGCCGTACAGCAGCCGTAGCTGCAGCAGCAGCACTCACCTTAGCACCCGACTTGATGACGGTGGGTTTGACCTCGCTTGCCGTACGGTTCAGGTTGTCCGTCACACAGAAGATAATGAGGCCTGTACCGCCAGGACCGTACGCCTCGTACGTCACTTCCTGTTCGCCATTAGGCAAGCAGGACGAAACGAGCCATGCTTTGGGGAAGGAAAGGGAAAGGAGGGTAGGATAGGATGCTGCTGCGTTTTTTTGGCATAACCCATATTCAGCATGTAACTGATCGGGGCTCGTGCCATTCGGTCAAACTAATTTGGGTTAGGGCTATCCTGTTGTGTTACGGTGACTGGAGATGCTGTCATGTGCGCGATCCCCCAGTTCACCCTTGCAACCCCATCCCCTTCATTGACGTCCCGGTTAGCTGGTTGCACCGATCATAACCATCATAATCCTGGTCAGTAGGATGACAGGTTGGGCTTGTTCAACCACAGGTGTCCTAAGCCGGCTCGGTCAGAGGGGTAAAAGCTTGATCGCTGCAGAAACTGACCTGGTAATCGCCCTGCTTTGAATCTGTGGCGCGCTTCAAGTTGCGCTCCACAATATCCTTTGGGACGCCTAAATCCTTCGCTTGGCGGAGTAGAGTATCCAGCGCCGCGTTCATGACGGGGTCGGCACCACCGGCCTTGGCCCTGTGGAAATTGCCGAACCGTCGAACAGCCAATCAGCCACTACCATGTCTCCACTCAGCAGCCAAACCCGAATGCGTACGAGTTTCAGCTAATTACATCAATACCCACAATTGAATAATTTTCTTGCCCACGCGACCGTAGATCTTGGCCTTCTTAGCGTCCGACTTGCCCTGGCGGCACAGTGATGCGCGTTATGCTGCATGCGTGCCTAAAAGTTTTAAGGAGCCGCGATCAAAAACCGATCTTATTATACCTTCCGCAAGGCAATTTTTGCGGAGCGTCGACCCATCTCAACAGGAGGAACAAGCACTCGGCTGCGAGGCCTTGTTGATGGGCAGGGCATCGGCAGACCGGCCCATCTCCCTAATTGATGTCGACTGTATATGCAGGCGGGCGCTCTCCCCGACGCAGATGTTGCCGAGGAACATGAGGCAACCAGTCGCTGCATTGTGACCAGCAAGCAGGCACAACGCTTCTGCACCAGTATCCTGCAAAAGTGAAGTTTGTAATCAAATCTTTAAAGAAAGGATTAGTTTTTTAGGCAAACTCCACGCTTGGGGGTGCAGCACGTACTGACCTTTGAGATGAGGACGCGATAATCTTTCGCAGATGTTAAAGGCCTGTCACATTTCGAACACGCATTATAAGAAGTGCGCGAAAAATGCGCCCCGTATGTAAAAGCAGGGAGAAACATATTCAATTCTCCGGCCTGCCGGACCCTTGGGACATGCAATAAGACAGCACTGCTCCTCTCCGCACAACGGATGAAATGTAGCTCGCCGCATAGCGCTTGTCATCCTGCAAAAATGCACTCCATATTCCCTACTAGGCGCTGATGGAACGAAAGACGGACACGTACGAGGAAACTGACCCGCATCCAGAACGATTCACCACGTCCTAACATAGCCCCAAGCCAAAAAACCCGCTCACAGTATGACAACCCCTCATCCCAACAGTACACATCCCGACTACATCCCAACAGTACGCATCTTGGGTATTCATGGTTATGGTTTGGACACCATGGCGAGAGCCTTTCCTTATCCGAGGACCCTGAATGGCTTAAAAACTGAACTCCTGTTACAGCTGGATTGGCTAGAAAAATTCGTCGGTGCATGCTATGCCGGGACATAGCTAGATAGGACGGTTTGTCTGGTCATAGCTGCGTGCCTTTCCCACACAAAACCTGCGAGTGTACGCCTCAGCACGCTAATCACCCACCAAACGGGGATTGGTTAATGTCAACACGGCAATACAAAAGCAGGGCATCAGAACTCACGCCGATATTTCTTATCGACCCTTTACATCGCAGCGTACCTTCATCACCACCATGAACCTATCATGAGCTGTACCATTTGGCTTCGTACGAACATGTGTTTGTAAAGTTGACATGTGTTCTTTGCGGAAGGCAGAGGCAAGAAACATGAGTGAGTTCCGCCTTCCCATGCAACAAAGCCGCACCATGAAAAGTATAACCCTTAGATATATCCCTTGACACAGAGAAACCCCAATGAACCAACAACGGCGACCATGCCCCTGGCATGTGCGTACTGGAGGGGCCCGTCCGTCCCCTCCCCGCACCAATCTACGCCTACCACACGTAGTTCGGTACCTCCCATGCATGCAATTCAGGCAACGCCATAGCTGTGTCGTACAGCCTGTACAGCATCTCACCAGTCTCCCAAAAGCGCAACCTGCACATGCCTCGCTGACGATAACCGCTCGCTTCCATTAACTGACAGTTCCCCTCATCACCCTCCCTCCCGCCGCCCCTGCCCTCTCCCCTACTTGGATCCTCGCCGCCCCTCTCCGAACCCCGTCCTCATGCTCCCTCCGCTTCAGGTTCGTGCAAGCACTCGACCCCGGAGTGGTAGTGGTATTTGTCAGTGGCATGCATGCATGCTCATATGCATAGTCGCTTGCTCCGGTAAAATGAACTGGTCCAAGAAAACCCTAAGTCACCCTTCCCCATGCCAAAATGCACAGGCATACGCATAGGCGTACGCAAGTAGACACAATACGAAAACACGTTCACGCACCTGGGGTAGTAGGTTTTCCCGCCCAACACACCTAAAACAGGTAGCTGGGCGATGCACAAGGAGGAAAGAGTGTGTTCCAGGGCCTTTTTCCAAGCACTTGGGAAAGGGCAGAACAAAAGAATGTCCTAGTAGAAAAGAGTGAAAAATGCCGGCCGTTCTCACGCGGCGGCAGAGCGAAAGAAGAAACGAAACGAAAAGAATGTCAAGAAAGGCGCATGTAGCTCTTGCAAGTTACTACGTTGCGACAAGGCCCCCGGAGACCATTACCTGCTCATTACCCCACCTCACCCCACCATCCACCTCTTCCTAAGCTCCATGTCGGTCTTGGCAGCGCGGAAGTATGGTGTGCTAACTCTTAAGCAAGGTAGAGGAGGTCCGAAGTGTAACCAACACATGGTCTTGCGGCCACTCCACATCCTGGTCGCCTCCTTAATCAATGATTGACATCCCTCTACTACACCGATAATACACGTACAACCTGGAGTTCAATAACACATACGCAGCTTTGGTTTGGAAGCGTCAGAATCGTGACCGTGCCAAGACCGTGCTTCGCGTGCCGCCCTTGCATGCAAGCAGGTCAACCCTCTCCTACGGCCCTCGTCTTTCAAAAATTCCTTCCCCGTCCTTCCCCGTGCCGGCAGGCTTTACCGAAGCGTCCCGCTGCAGGGAGCTAGCGAGAGGGTCCAGCAGAAGGCGATGCCCTTAGTGCATGCTTGGACCCCATTGCGTACAGCCAGGCGGAGACCAAGCCGTACGCGTATACCAGACGCGTATACCATTAACATCGTTTCTGCAGTCCGGCAGAGTATGTGCTCAAACAAGAAGGACCAGGGGGGAGGGAGGTAAAAGGGGAGTTCTCGAATTGGCCGTAGGAGTAGGCGACCACGGCCCCTCAGCACTGGGATAGCACCCGACCTCATGATGACGACGGTGGAGGTGGCGGCCGCGGCAAGCGCCCCTCCGCCAGTGCCTTCAGCAGCACCTCCTCTTCTCGGCCGCACAAGTCGGGCTTGAGGCAGCGGCAGCGACTGCGCACCATCATGGATGCTGGGAGGTAGGGACAGGCGCGGTTGCCCACTCCCTGGATGTGGCGCCGCGGGAGTTAAGAAACGCACGCACGATGAATAGACACATCGTCGTACCGTGTACGAGATACGAGGTGACATCAGTTGAAGCGGTGCGTGCAGCCGGTCCCCAGCGGTTATCTTCCGCAATCCACAATCCATTTCCAGTCCCGGCTACCTGTCCGAAGCCCCAGCTTCCTTCTAATGCCCTACAGACCTAACAAACCCACCGTCTCGGGATAGCGCTGTGACGACCAGCTCCGGGTCTCGTCCTGGTCGGGTCCAAACAGACCCACCGTTCCGCTAATCTTGATGTCGGAGCGGTTGCGTGCTGCCCACAGGTTGGTGTTGTACGCCAGCGCCACTCGCAAGCCCTATAATAAACGTGCGTGTGCATGTATATGAGTGTGCGAGTGTCCATCCAGACCCATACCGCGACAGGAGCGGAAGTCCAGATCTCGGTCAGCAACAACAGCAGCAGCCAGTAGCCGCAGCAGCAAGAAACGCAGCAGTGGCGGTGGCAGCGGTGAGTGTAGCCTCCGTCGCCGGCCCCAGAGACTCACCCCAGCACCCCAAAGAAGTTCTGTCACCTAACGCCCAACTTCGGGCTCAAAACAAAAAACACGCTCAATACAATACCGACCTGCACAACGCGGCGCTAGATCATGCCGCGTACGGCACACAGACCGTCACAATCACAACCCAACGCCGTATCTAACCCTGCTAACCGGGCAATGCCCTGCCGTACTGGCTTGAAAGCGGAAACTGCCCCTGCCGAACCACTCCGCACCACTTCACCTTGGGATGGGAGTCTTCGGGGGCTCTCAAACATCTGCAGACAGGCACGGGGGTGTTACGTAGTTGGCGGTTGGACGTTAAATGTTGGTTGTCGGAAACGGGACCCGAAGCGGGACGCCTCGGCGATGAGGCCGCAGGGCGACGAGGCCGCAGGGCATGACTCTCCCTTCCCATTGTTTGTCTTCTGTTTTGTCTTCTTGGTCCTGTTTAACTTACCTGTTTAACTTAGGGGACAAAGTCCGACCCTTGTGCAGGGGGTTCTCTAAAACACTTCCATGATGTCCGTCGCTGCATGGCTATCCTGCTCGATTCCCACTGCTTAACTCACCCTATGTATCCTGGTAACCTATCCATCCCCTTCCCAGTCATCCAGCCGTCCCCTACAACCTACATCCTTCCCAGCCACCCACCTGCTACCGCCCCACGCGCCCTCGTTGACCGCTCGTAGTTCCGAAGGCCAGGGGCAGCTGTCTCCCGATCCCGAGAAGTTCCGAAACCATGCCAAGTCAGCAATGTCGTACAACACGCTGCGTGCCGTGACTTCTTGGAACTCCGGAAGGGGATCCTGGAGCTGCGGCAAAAAGCCTTCACGTCGCGGGATGGGATCGGGTGGGGAATGCGGTGCGACCTGAGAAAACAAACAACACAGCAGAACCGAGGCAAGACCTACCTACACGCGAGCGCGCAATCTCACGGGTTCCCAAAGAACAGTAGAGTAGGGTACGGCTAAAGCGGGGGCCCGGGGGTGTGTTTCAGCGGGATTTAGAATCGTTGCACAAACACACGCAAACGCAGCTGTGTGCAGTTACACAAATACACACGCGGTTCAGATTATGAAGACATGCATGTCGCCACGTAGGCACATGCAGATAACCTCCTCCTCCTGGCCCCAGGGCAGTGTAACCCCCCGAGTACAGTGCCTGATGGAGTCGGCGGCAGCTCACGTACCGCTCTTTGCAAAGTTGTCCGGCAGATGTACGACAGAATAACCCTTGCCAAGAATGTCGAGCAGCATCTTGGGAGGATCCTCCGTACCCACGGGCGCCTGTAGCAGCAGCAGCAGCAACGGCAGCAGCAGCAGCAGCAGCGGCCCACCGAATGATGCACAACGCTCCACACCAGGCGTCCTTAACAACGTACATCCTCCCAAAGTTGCAATGTAACGTCTTCCACAGTGAAGCTCGTTGGCGATGAGCTTGGATCCCCTTACGGCTTGCATGGACAGGTCAGCTTGGCACGGGGTCACGCAACCCCTGACCATGTCATGTGTTTAACAACGTATACACACACGCACGCCCGCTCGCGCGAACACACGCGTACACACACAAACAAACAAATTGACACCCAGAAATTAGCACAGACCAGACCAGCCGATATGACCCAAATGCGTATCCGCAGCGGGAGTACGGGACGTACCTTGCCGCCCATCGCTGGGAAGACTTGGTCCAGGGTCTCAGGCATGCCTGGATGCGTTTGTGAGAGGACGTACGGCTTTAGGCAACAGACAAGCGAATCATGACGCGACCCGACGAATACGATGCCTAAAGCAGACGCCGAACGACGGAAAATGTATGGGTTGCGTAACCCACATCCAGCCTGCGCCATCCTCTCCCACCCAACGCAGCATCCGCACGCATTCGCGTTCGGCTTCGACCCCCGAAATCCACACGATCGAAACCCACCCGGCGAGTATTCCAAGACGATGTGCTCCACGCGTTGGTCAGACAGTAGCTGCTCGCCCGAGCGAAACACCACTGGCTCATAACCTTCCACATCAACCTGCGTACGTGTCGTACGACATGCCGTTCCATGCGGTACGGTGCGTGTACGACACAGGAGCAAGCATGCGGCACGGCGCAATACGGATGAGGGTTAGATCTGAGAAACAGCGTGAAGTGGGGCCGTGGGGAGCCATGGGTTAGGGGAGGAGGGCGGGGGGGGGTACACAAAACGCAGACATGAGCTTGCGTAAAAACAAGGGACAGTGAATGGCTGGGGGCAGTTAAGGCACTAAGGTCCAAGGAACCTTGCCTGTGCAGCGACACCCTCGATTGCCGCCGTGCGTACGGTGCCAATGTACAGCAAAAGTACGGAAGGGCAGTAAACGAAACCCATCTCTGCAACCTCACCTTTAATAGCAACACCTGCTCCGATCCCACGATCTCGTCCAGCCCTGCAGACTCGACAGCAATTGTCTCCAGATCCTGTACGGCATAGGTACAGCAACATCAAATGCATAAGTACGGCATTGCAGGTGAATTGCGTCAAACGGTTAGATCTTCCATGACATGCGTGCTGTCACTCCGGAATCCTCCACTTCTTTTATCTCCGTGTGTTGCGGTAGCTTACGTTTCCTCTCGAGTCATAAAACTCCAACACGCCGTGCAACCAACTAACAAACCAACAATCTTAGGGTTTTAGGGTTCTACCGCATTCAGGTTGTCGTTTTTTCTCACACTTTCTCGGCATTGGGCAGTCTTGTCCGTGATTACAGTCGCCTACTTGCCCCGCCTGCCCTGTCTAGTCCCAAGTCCAGGTCCGCTGCTGGCCCTCACCCAACTACGTTAGACTGGCCCAGAACCGCACCTGGTCTATGTTATTGGCGGTGCCGGCAACGCTGGCCGTCCCCCAGACGCCCCTACCGTAGAGATACACGGGGCAGAAAGAGTGACGGGGCGGAAGGGGCGCGGTGGCTGGGTACTGGTTGAATACATACGCAGGAATACAACCGTGTGTTGTGACAGTGGCCCACACCCTTTTTTCGCTCCCAAGGAACAGACACGACACGACAGACCGTGTTTCACAAACCTTTTCCCAACCCACCTACAGGATTTTTACACCCGTTCCTACCCCACAGATCTCTGCCGGCAATAAATGTGGTAAAAATATTGGTACTACTATTTTCCCTCCATTCTCACTAAAGGGTTCCCTATTTTCCCGCTACCGTCCTCTCCTTCCCCTTCACAAGTTACCATACTTGAATCATAATATGTACTTTTAATACATATAATTTAATATCATGTCCCAAAACATAAAGCCCTAAAACCCAAACCCTTCGTGGTAACGTCCATCTATCGCGTAGCTTTTCGTCACATCCCCCCCTTCCCCTCCGCCTATTATCCTCCACGCCTCGTCCTACCCCACCCTCCTCACCTTCGTGGTGCTGTCATAGTCACATTCTCTCCAGACACGGTCGACACGACACGCTCCACCACCACCACCGCACTTGCGCCGCCGCCGCCGCCGCCGTTGCCGCCGCCGGTGGCAGATGGGTGAAGACCGGGAATGGGAAACGGGACCTGGGCGGTGTCGGAGCCGGCGGGAACGCTGACCGCCCTCAGCCCGTTCGCTGCTAAGCTCCAGTGCAGGAAGGCTAGGAAGCGAGGGACAGGCTCCACGGCAACGACCCTGAAGATGGGCAATACGACTGGTTCATCAGTCAATTCCAGTACCATGTCGTATGATGTTGTACAAATCTTTCATAGTTGTAATGCACGCACATGCGGATGCGTGTCTGTGTGTGTTGGGGGGGGAGAGAGAGAGAGAGGACACACGCATCCGTCAAAAACCGTTAAACTTGCATGCGTTGTGTTCTGTTCATTGCGCAGCTATTCCCGACACCCCGCAACCCGTCTACCTCGGGTCTTGACCACGTTGCATCCGACGGCGTGTCCTTCCTCCTCGCGACTGAAAACCCACGCGCTCCTTAAGACTGGTACCTAGTGCAGTCACTCACAACGATGCCGTGTGCCGAACGGCATGATTCCCGCACCGTGTGGTGGAGTACCCCCCACCACGTTCTAGCATTTTTTGCAGGGCTAGACGCTAAACACTTTCTTTTGCAGGATGATACCCCCGGAGCCGCATGGCCTCCCCGCTTTACCTGCAGCCCATCATCGCCGCGTACACTGAAAAGAAGCCAAAGTTGGCGCCCACGTCGACCACCAGGGGCGCCAAAGCACCGCTTGGAGCCGCTCCCGTTCCCGCCATTGCCGGCGGTCGGAACGGCGCGCAGCGCTGTGATAGAACCTCGTGGAAAATCTGCACGGCGCGGCGAGGTGCGGTGCCGTCTGGCGTGGTGGTGGTGCTGCTGCTGCTGATGCTAAGTTTGCACTTCTTCTCAGCGTCAGTGTACGAGGTGTACGAGGTCCCGTACGGGTACAGTACACGTGTACGCGGTCGGTATAGGTATATTAAGGGGGGCTATAGAGGGAGTGAGGGGACCATGTCTGGGGAATCCCCAGCTCTTCCTTCATCCCCAGCTCTCCCTCCCTCCCTGCCTCTCTCGCGCTGTGTTTCCACTCCTCTTGTTTTCAGAGACTGATCGCGCCCCTCTTCCGCCACCAATTTTCCTGTCCCTCCTCCGCATCCAATGCAAGTAAGGTCATTCCAACCCCCTCGAAAGAAAGCCCCGAGCGAAAACCCGAACGGCGCAATATTCATGAAAGATAAAGCCAACCTGTTGGAAATGACCGACACTCATATACCAGTGGATGGTAACCATAGTAATAGGACTCGGCTGGGGTCCGGCGCTTTGCTGGTCTTAACACAACCTGCCCTCACCTGCACTATTCCCAGCTCCATGCACCCGACCCGCTCGATTTGGTCTGACACGTCCAGATCCTCCTGCAATGCCGTACCACACGGGACCGTGGAAAAGGCATATCGCTTATGCATGCAAGGTGGCACACAAGTGAAACAAGGCGGTATGGGAAGGGGGGGAGAAGGAGACATGGCGGCATTTGAGGTGAAGAAACGTCAGAAAGTCTGCCGCATGAGGACGTAAACTTGGTGGTTGGAATACAAGCATACACGCATAATAAGGTAAGGAATGGGCGCGAAGATCTGTGAAGAGGAGGCGGGGTATGACAGGATGGGGAACCCTTGTACGGGAATACGTTGACAACAGAACTAACTGCAGAGGGCCGAGATAGCAAGCAACCAAGCCGCTATCGACCCAAAAGCCTTCCCAGACCCCGGCGTTCGTTCCCGACGTTCGTTATTGCCACAACTTAATGGGTACAATGGGTATGGAGCTACGAGGAGGTATGCGGCACGGGGAGACGCGGTACGAGGGCGCAGGCATAGGAGCATGGCTCCTTCCCTGCCCCGACCCTTCCCTTCACCACAGCACACAGCAGATGCTAGTATGACGACTACGTCAAAACCCGTAGAATGTACCGCATGCCGTACCTTGGGATCCGTGTACGCAAAGAGGAAGCGCGGCTCGAAGGCTACCCGACGCGCGTACACCTTGACGCCCTGGCGCCGCAAGAAGTCGATGGGCCCTTTAAAACCCGCATTGGTGCTGTGTTTTCCGCCGGCGTTGCAGTAACCGCCGCCCAAACGATTAGGAAAACAGGAAAGCAGAGGAAAGCGGCGGCGGAGGAAGAGAATATCATGAAAATGCAACACGAGCGAGCACTGTACGGTGTAGTGAAGCCAGGCTGCAAGCAGAGCAGAGCAGAGCCCACCATACAGGATTTGGAGCGACCCGGCAATGTGGGAGCATTGCCACTGACTGAAGCGCAGGCCGAGAAGGAGAAGGAAAAAACCGTGGATAATTATTGCGACTAAAAAGTTAGTGGATAAACCATTTCCCGTCGTCCGGTAAAATGGGGGACTGTACTGTACAGGCGATGTACAGGCTATGTAAGCGTCTATGTAAGCGCCACGAAATTTACATGCTGGGGAAATTTGTAGGCGGCGTCTGCGCGGTGGCTGGGCGACAGGACGAAAACAGTAAGCCACCTACATAATAGTCACAATCATGTTGTTGGTGAAAAATGGTCGTGGCGAAAAAGTAGAGATAATGGTGTTGGTCGTGAGGATGAGGATGACCTGGGCGGAGATCTAACCTCTGCGGGGTTTTGTCCTGTCCCAAACTTCCCAACTCACCCCCATGTGGAGATGATTCCTTTGTACGGCCCGCAATCCGTGCAGTCCGTACCAAAGTCGCATGCCACTTGCACTCCCCCCTCGCGTCGTAGCTTAGAGATATTGGAGCCATCCTCGCATATGCCATTACGCGCCTGCAGTTTACAGCGGTTTCGGAGGGGGAGGAATTCTGGAAGGCAGAGGGGAAGGGAAAGACGAACCACAGACGAGTGAAGCTGATACCAAGGATACCCAGATATCGCAGGAGGGGGAAAGACGAACCACACACGATTGAAGCTGCTGCCAGGGCAAGAGAGTAGCAAACGTAGAAACTGACCGAAAGGCGTCCGTGGCGACTGTGACGACTGTGACCTCGGGATGACGAAGTGACGTTGATGTCGGAAATCCTATCTACCTAAGCCGCCAGAATTAAAAAGCTGAATAGTATAGCCAATCCGTAAAGAAGTAGGTGTAGAAAAGTAGTAGTGAAGGCGGCGAGTAAAATAGTGCTGTCGTAAAGGTGGCCTAAAGTTGCTGGCCTGGAGAAAAGGCTGATTTGCTGATACTGAAAGGCTGTCGGTATGCAAGTGCTCCTCCCAACCCCCAAAAAAAACTAAAACGCGCGACCGACCCGACTATTCTATTCCGGCTAGCCGACCGACGCCAACGCGATATACCAAAGAGGGGGGGGGGAAAGACGAACCACAAACGAGTGAAGCTGTTGCCAGGGCAAGAGTGTACCAGACGCAGAACTCGCAGGAGGGGGGAGGGGCTGGTGGGGGTTACCAAAGGACCAGTGGAGGTCCTTGGGGGGAGAGGTTCAAGGAGCGACGCGGGGCTTACGTGAGAAGGCTGCTAAATTGTCGCCATGCCGCCACTGACCGGAGGGAGGTGTTGATTGAGAGAAGTGGAGGTGCGGCGTACTAAGTCTTCCGCACTCGGGCTGGCTTTGGCTTAATAAGTTTTCAAGCCTTTAAAGAGAGCGGCGTCCACAAAGCTTTATACTCCCACACGCTTCGCACGAGTACGTCATTGCAAACAATAACCACCACCCTGGTTTGCCCACAGGCCTACATGCCCTGTTTGCCTAACTGAGCGCCAGGTCAGCCCAGCCACACCACCAGCTGCACAATGTCTGTCCTGGACCACCCTGCATCTCGGCCTCTGGACCCAATTACAAGGCAAAAACAGCATCCCTGAACATGATAGGAGCAAGGCAACATCTTAAAAATCAACATCAACTTAAAAGGGGCTGGACTACCCCGTAAGCGCTTACCAACGGGCAGGTGTCCGAACACACGGTAGCGCCGCCGCCGCCGCCGGAATTTCTGCTCCCACCCCCGTTGTTGCTGCTGCTGCCAGCTGACGCGGTTGAGGGGTTTCTGCTACTGGTTCCGGAGACGGCCTGTCGAGCTCCGCGTAGCCCTGACCCGTCCACGTTGATGCCTCCCGCATCCACTAGTTCCGCTGAAGCTATCCGAATGCCCCAGCCCTTGCTGCTGCTACTACTGCCTGCAGCACGGGGAGTATCTTTGCTAACTCGACTGCTCCTTGCAAGGCAGCCACTGATACTGCTGCTACAACTTCCGGTGGCAGCCAGGCTCAAGGTGCTGCCGCTACTGCTGCTATTGCCAACGCTGGCCCAGATCCATGAGAGCAATGATCTCTTCAATAACCTTAGAGCGGGAGCTTTCCAGGTTCTATGGGCATGATGGTTATGGTAAGAGCCAAAATCAAGCAATCCTCCGTAACGGGCAGGTTGTGGCGGTAGGGAGTGGCGCGGGGTTGAGCCAGGCGCGATGCCCGGCCCTGCATCCAGGCCAAGCGTTTCTCCTTCCTCCACAGGCGGACAGGCTATAGCTGTTTGCCTGGGTTTGCTGCAGTCCGGGGAGCTGCTGGTCGTGAGCAGGAGAACTGCATGCAAGAGTTAAAAAGCGATTGGCGTAAGCAACCAGCACGTTTACGGGAAGTCAGGCTGAAGGAAGAACATGGGTTGTATATGGACAGAGAGGTCAGTAGATTCAGATTCGGTGAAACCTGCACGTAGTTTTGTGAAAGGTCCTGGTCTTCCCTCGGCCATAGCTGCACCCTCAAGCTGCCATGCACAACCGTCAGTTTGCGGTTTGCGCTGGGGCAGTCGCAGATCCCGTAACGAGATAACCACTCGCGTTTATGTATGAGTAGCCACCAAGTACCAAGCGAACCGTTGGATGCGTTCCGAATACAACGATATGCCATTAAGTGATACGGCTTTAAACCTGCACCTCGCCATGCATACAGCAGGTGTGCATAACATGTTTCCAGACAATCACAAGCCATAGATTTTCAAGGGGGTCATAGAGCAGGAGCTCAAAACGCGTAGCAACTACTGAAAGTCTTGGATGCCAGTTCCTTAACCAAACGCACCTAGGAGCCACAATCCTGAATTTAGCATATCTTCGAAAAACCTTTACTGTCGTCAGCAACAACTGCTGTAACCCCTCTCCGATGTCTAGGCCACGTTCATCCACCGGTAAGCAGGTTGTCACTCTTAGAATGCTAGCGACATCCTATGTAATCAGCAGGTTGTCACGCTAGCGTACCAAAGGAGAAAGCGAAAGTAACGTGCCAAGCTGTTTTTCACCGTCTGCCACGCCTAAAAATCAGTAAGCTGTCTGTACGTTGTCATGTCAGAGTAGTGTCAAGCAGTCAGAACATTTATGTGGCTACAAAAATTCAGCAGTCAGGTTGTGCGCGTCGCCACATTGAAGTTGGCATGTCCGTCGTATTTGAATTACACATTACGGCAGAGCTCTGGCAAACAGTGTCCAGGGCGTCCGCATCCTTGATGTTGACCCAATATCATGCCCGTGCGTAATACATGGCACGGATAAGTACAAACATCGCCCACGTACGTTCGCTGTCCGGTTGTTCGGTTGGTTTTCAAACATTTCCCAGATAGGAAGCCGAAAGTCACACTTTGCCGTGTTACCATAATCCAGGATACGGTCCATGATAATGAGGCATCCTTCCGAAACGACCTTGAAAAAGTTATTGGAGCCTAGCCCTACAGAAACGTTTTTCCAGTGTCCAGCCAGCTAACCCCAGCTATAATTGCCCGTTACGGCCACGGCTCTTTGTATAGCAGGCCTACCTAAGGCCAAAAGCCAGACGATGCTGGAGTAGTCAATTCAGATTAAGTGTTTGTTAAGGTTCCACGAGCTTGTACGGCCCTAAGCGAATCAAGAGGCTCATGAGCCAATTTGCAAAGCATTGCGGCTCCGTGCAAATCGGCAACGGTAACGGAAGGTACCAGAGTCACCACAGTCATCCATGAGTCCATGTCATCGAACTGATCACAAGTGTGCGCATCAGCGGCTACACGCTCTCTGCACGGTTGCCTGGCCTTCTGACCTGTGCATTTGTGGCACCCCGGTACGGCACTCGACATAGCGCCACACAAAGGACTCCAGATAAATATTTGCCTTTTATTTTCCATTCAGCTTTCCGGATAAATTGTTACGCTGATGCCGTGTATGGAGCGTAGACAAGAATAACCGTGTACTGTTTATACGCGTGAAGACCTTTGTTGATAATTGTCAAACACTAATCGACTCATTAGCGATCCTGCTCTGCAGAATGGCCTCTTCGTTGGAGGGTAGACTTAAGACGGCTACGGAGCTTGGGACTTCCGATGTCGCAGGCGCGGTAGAGCAGCTCAAGGGGCTTGTTTTGGAGGACGGTAGCAATGACACGGAGGCTGTGCATATCAAGGAGCAGGCCATTTCCCACCTATGCGAGCTTTACATTAAACAGAGCAACGCGCAAGGTCTCGCAGATCTACTGACCTCTTTGCGAACTTTTTTCAACGCCATCCCCAAAGCAAAAACAGCAAAGCTCGTCCGCAGCATTATCGATGCCATTGCAAAAGTGCCAGGATCGACACAACTGCAGGTGCGCGGCATACAGAGGAAAATCTACACTTGGGACCTTGAAGCTGCAAATTGCTAGCGGCAATCATCATCTTTGCATACTGTATCGAGGCAATGCGCAATGGATGGACAAGATATTCAGGTTCGACGTAACAAACTACGTCCACCGGAGCAAATCCTGTCTGCCAAGTCACGCGTGCCTCCACGTGCCTCCACGCTCGGGAGCTGCCCCTTCCCGCCCACCCGTCCCCCTCATTATGGCCAAGTGGCGAACCTCCGCCTCCATCCTCGGCCACTTCCCACCTCGCTGCAAACATGCTCTCCGCTTTTCCCTACTTGCACTGCTGCCAACATTGTGTTTCAAGCCCCACATATTCTCTCGCTTCCTCCTGCTGCCGAATTGCTCGTCCAGGTGGAGGTGTGCCGAGCCCAGGTGGAGTGGGCCAAGGCGGAGAAGCGCACATTTCTTCGTCAGCGCATCGAACTGCGCCTGGCCAGTCTGTACATGCAGGTGAGGAAGCATGTAGCGAGGTGTGGACGCTGGGATATAAGGGCAGGTCTGGCCCGATCGAAGGGGTGCCTTGGAGACAGCGAAACGGTGGCAAGGGCGCTAAGGCGGTGGATAGGGTGTGGGGTTTGCAACGTGGTGGTTGGGGGAGGGAAGCGGGCAGCTTTGGGGAGGGTGTCGGCGGCCGGGGGGGGGGACGGTGGGGTTTTGAGGCGACAGCGGAGGACGGCTCCGGCCCGGGGGGGAGAGTTATGTAATTGCACTGCGTGGCGTGCACTGTGTTTTGCATGTATTACGACAAGCCCCAAGAGTCTGCGCCAGACATTCACAGTACGCACTTAAGCAAGCAAGACGAGTGGCCGGGGCCCCCGGCCCACCATTTTTTCCCGGTGGTAGCGCACGTCACAAAAAGTTGGTGTTGCCGTACACCAGCTGATCGTGCGATGCCGTGTGGACGATTGCTTGTACCTGCTTCCTGTGCTGCGCAGGTCAAGGACTACCCTGCAGCTCTGGCGCTTATTGGGACGTGAGTCACTTGATCATCACCAGGAGTTGGGTGTGGAGCCCTGTAGTGGTAGCAAGGGGTGAAGGGTGGGGGGCGGAGCAATGCGTATTTACGTAGGGCCGGCCCCACTGAATGGGGGGAGGCAACGAGTCAATCACCAGGATGGGTTGCAGGTGGCCAGCCAGTCTGTCTGCTAGCCGAAGAGCGCTCCTCAAATTTCCCTTGTTTCCCTATCTGCCCCTCAGACCACGTGAAACATGAAATTGCAACACAGTAAAGTCGTCCCTGCCTTACGTATTGAGGGGCCCCTGACATTTTGACCCTTTGACTCGTTCACCGTATGACTTTCATTTCCGCACCGCCTTGCCCCCTCGGTGTGCTTTGGACGTTGGCACTAGGTCCTTCGCATTGCTTGCCTCACATAATTCCCCCGCCTCCCTTCCTCCGGACGCCTTCTTCACGGACGCCTTTCCGTCAGTTTTACGTCTGTTACACTCTTGCCCTGGCAGCGGCTTCACTCGTTTGTGGTTCGTCTTTCCCTTCCTCCGGCCGCACTAACCCCGCCCTATGATTCCCCTAACCCCCGCCCTCACCTCAGGTTGCTCTCGGAGGTGAAGAAGCTGGATGACAAGCTGCTGCTGGTGGACGTCTACCTGCTGGAGAGCAAAGGTAAGGCTGGCATGGACACCGAAGGCGGCGATGGTGTAGTGTCTTCCCCTTCGCTATATGTACTTCGGCAGTGGATACCACATATGCACAGACACCCACACTGAACCCGACTGGCGTTTACTGGCGTTAAACTCAGCCCTTTCCGACCCCCTCAGATCTGCTCCATTCGCCAGTGGTTCAACTTAACCCCCTCGGGTCCTATTACTGTGCCTGTGCTGTTGTAGTAGCTGGCTGCTGAAAAGGCCTCTCGAGATGCTGGTGTTAGCGCTTAGCGCGTATTTGTAGTAGTTTATGTGTGCCGTACTGTGTACCGGCTACTACAGCTGTCACCATTCACTGGTATTATATTGTATGTGTGTCGGTCACTTCCCAACATCACCTCACGGAATAACCGAATAAGGCACACCTGATCTGCCGGTCAGGACCCCCTGCATCCCTGGTTCCTTCCTAAATAACAAACACACCCCAAACATACGCTGATCCCGTGAACTTGTTAAACATTGCAGTTAACCACGCCCTGCGTAACGTGCCCAAGGCCCGAGCTTCCCTCACAGCGGCACGCACTGCCGCCAATGCCATCTACGTGCCGCTTCAGCTTCAAGGGGGGGTAAGCGTGTGCGTATCTTTGGTGTGTGTGCGTTTCTTGGTGGTTAGGATGGGGAGGGTGGTGGTGGGGTTGCGTGCTTGGGAGGGAGGATGGGGGATTGTCCGAGATTGAAAATGCAAGTTAGGATAGGGGGGATGTAGTGCGGGCCTTATTGCGATTACGATGATGATGATGAGGAGGAATGGGAGAAGAATGGAGACAAGTGTTAACAGTCATTAAATGTTAACAGAAGTCCAATCGAAAAGAAGGCGTTTGAGAATGGGGGAGATGTTGCAGAGTTCGGGGTGAGAGGGGTGGGTGGGAGTGACGGGGGGGTTAGCTGCATGGGTGGGTAGTGGCGGGTACGTGGTTGTACGACCCGTACAATGCGGCGACAGCCACCTGCTGCTGAGGGTTCGCATAAGAACTCCTTTGGCGTGTGCTGGAAAGCACCTGGGAGCTGTTTTTTTCTTGCGGTATGAATGAAATGGATATTTGTAATGCGTGTGGACATCGGTTAGCAGGCTCAGGGAAAACATGCGGGGCGGCCCGTCTGCAACGATGTGGTTAGAGATCTAGAGATTTATGCCGGGGAGAGGAAGCATCACGCGTGGTCATATAGAACTTGACGAATGGTGAAAGGCTTGAATTGTGCGGGTGTTTGGCCCCAGATCGACTGCCATAGCGGCATTCTCTGTGCGGAAGAGAAGGACTACAAGACAGCCTACAGCTACTTCTTTGAGAGCTTCGAGCAGCTCTCCTCGCTCGACGATCCACAGGCCGCACAGGTGCGTCCGGGAGTCGGGGTCGAACCGGGGACCTCTCCTCGTCAAGAGACTCTTTTTTCGTTTCATTTTTGGGGAGGGCAGGAGGGGGCTGGCTAGCCCGCCGCAGGTTTGCGGTCCATGGATTGGGTTTTGAAGGTCTTTACCGGCACCTGAGTGTACCTTGGACCTACAGCGTTAGGAGTCTCTCTGTTCACCCCTCTCAGCGTACCGTGTTACCTCCTTCCTTGCACTTACAAAACAAGAAATACTGCCTCCTATATCCCACGCCCTCTCCCCGCCAGCTCAGTGTTTGATGTTGTAGTTGTTGTTATTATTATTATTATTATTATTTTTATTATTATTATTATTATTATTATTATTATTATTATCTTCAAGTTTTATATTGTTGTTAAATATCATTGATGCTGCTGCAGTCGTATACCATTAATTGAGATGGCATTTGCGTCATATACTTCGCCCTTGTTAAATCAAATTCAGGTTCTGAAGTACATGTTGCTGGCTAAGGTCATGCTGGACCAGGCGGACGACGTGCCGGGTGAGGGTTCGGGTGGCAGATGGGGAGCCTGGGTGAAGGATGGGGAGAAGGCTGAGGAGAAAGGAACGAAGGATGGATGTAGGGAGGACTGAGGTGCAAGGAAGCGAATCTCTCGACGGGGAAGCAACAGAAGGAAAGGGTAAGGGAAGGGGAGCCGGGCGCAGGGAGATGGGAAGGGGGTAGAACAGAAGGTATGAAAAAGCGGAAACTGCCGAGGGCACAAACGCGTCTTCCCGTTTCCCAGGTATTATTAGCTCCAAGGCCGGTCTCAAGTACACGGGCCCGGAGGTGGAGGCCCTGCGGGCGGTGGCTCAGGCCTATCACGACCGCTCCCTGCAAGCCTTCCAGGTGGGACATGAAAATTGAGATGGGTTGTAACTCACACAGACACACGCACAGACATACACATACTGACAGACAGACAGACAGAGATGTGGTAGTCAGGGCTCCACAGGGCTCTTGGCAGATGTTCGGTTGGGGGTTTGGGGATTAGAGACGAGTCATCGCTGCTCTGGGAGGTTTCTTTACCTGGCTGGACAAGGAGATAACAAGGAGATAGTGCAGTTGGGTTGCCGCAGGGGCTTTCTCCCTTCTCCTCTCCCCCTCCTCTTCCCCTCTCCACGGTTTCTCTCTGTGTCTTCTCCGCACCGCTCGCCTTTCTCATTCTCATCCTCATTCTCATCCTCGCCGCCTCGTTTCGCGCGCAGGATGTTCTGGAAGCACACAAGTCCCAGCTAGTGGACGATGTCGTCGTACATGCCCACCTGGCCTTCTTGTACGACACGCTGCTGCAGCAAAACCTTGTACGACTGATTGAGCCTTTTAGTCGAGTGGAGATCTCTCACGTGGCGCACCTGATTGGGCTACCGGTGCCGACTGTAGAGGCTAAACTCAGCCAGGTGAATCCAGATGTGTCTCTGTGGGGAGGAGGTGGGGAGGGGTGGTGGGTGTAAAAATTAAGATAGGATACGACGGAATGTTTCCTCTCCTCTCACCCCCAATACAAGGGAAAGATCCGCCGAGGAAGCCAAGCAGATTAGACTTCCTTATCCATCGGGACATGCACTTTTATGGTCGAGTGCCACGACGGCTTTCCTCTGTCCCTTTTCTTTTGTGTCCTTTGCGTCGTTTACCTCCTCCAGCAGTGCCCTTTCGTTTACCTTGTTGAGGTTTTACAGTTACGGGAGCCCCTGAGAACATGAAAATCGCCGTCAATCGACATCCAAAGCGAGGAAACAAGCCTATCCTTTGTATTCAGCACGGGAAACCGTCGACCCTAAGTTAGACATGACTAGAGAGGCGAATTGGGCCGGGGGTAGGGGCTGTTTTGGTGCAAGCGTATCCGCGCGCGTGCCTCGCGCTCTTGTATGTATGACTTAGATTACATTGTGGGCCGCGAGAGCCGGTGGCCGAAGCCGGAACACAGCGGAAGGGTCGGGGACGTGTAGTACAAGTCGGTTAGTCTTGTGTGCTCCCGACCCCGACTCAGACTGATGCATGTATGTACTCACTACACCTTCCCACGAGCCTCAAAACGTATGTTCTCCCTCTTCCCCCTCCCCACCACAAAAACCCCGCCTCGCCCCAGATGATCTTGGACAAGAAGTTCAGCGGCACTTTGGACCAGGGCGCGGGCTGCCTCGAGGTCTTCTCCCCTTCATCCCCCGACGTGGTCTACCCCGCCGCCTTGGACGTGTTGGATTCGCTGGGGCGGGTGGTAGACACGCTGTTCGCCAGGAGCCAGAAGGTGGTTGCATGAGGTCGCCTCGCGGGGGGGGTAGGGAAGCGTCTGTCGGCGTATGGGTGCGACATTTTGCGAAAAATCTGCTGGTGGTGGCGGCGTGGGAGACACAGAGAGCGACGTCTCTGTTGTGTGGGAAGTGGGGAAAGAGTCTTTTCACTTTCTGCAACCACACTTAGCAGCCATTTGCGAGCTGAGCTCACATGCTACGTGGTGGGCTGTGTGGCGGTCTGGGCGTAGCGTGCTGGAGAAGGCTGGAGTGATAAGGAGACATGCGCAGAGATTAATTAGTCCCAATGGATGAACCTGTGGATGGAAGATAGGTAAACGAAGTGCGATGGGGGTCGCCGTGTGGGGGCAGGTGCGGTGGCTGATCAGGAGGAAGACCACAGCGAGAGCAGAGGAGGCGAAAGACGGGCTCAGGCGGCGCCGGGTTGCGGAAACTGACCAGGCAGGAATTCGGGTTTGGGTTTTGTGTAGGAGTGAGCGGTGACTGGTGAGCAGTGGGTCTTGCCCATTCGCGTACCGGTTTTACCAAGTTCGCCACAGCCTCCCTCTTACCCTAGCCTTCACCGAGCCTTCACGAAACTGGGCTTGAGGCAGCCACCAACGGACGGATGCACGGATGGGGATAAACAGCTAGGCAGGCAAATAGAGCGATGTGGAAAGATGGAGTGTGTTCCGATAAGGAACAGGAAAAGGGGGGGCCGCAGGCGGCACGTAGGCGGTAGCGGGGGGGACAGCCTTTATCGACGTTGGCACAGCTGCTCCCTTGCGTGCGGGTGTTCTGGCAAAGGTTTTTGGTTTGGGGAGGTAGACGTGGTGGCGACGCATGGTACTACGTTGTGGACCAAAGATAGTAGAAGAGTCTTTGACGGGAGCGGGTGGTGGGAGGAGCAGGGGGTGCCGTAGAAATGGGGAACAGCCCGGAGGGTTTACAGAAAGGAGAAGCATCACCACGGTAAGCAACTTTGGAACCTTACGCGTTTGGCCTAGGCGGCGTCCAGTTAGGATTTCTGCCATGTCGGGCTGCCACTTTGAATAGCCAGGAATGCAGAAAAAGGTCAGAATAGCCGCTGCACATATGTGACGTTATACGCGCGAAGGATTATGTTCTAAGGAATTATTTTTCCGTTCCTTGAAAAATTGCGGAGAAAAACAGAAAGCAGCGATCTAGGTCCTTAACTTTATATACGAGATATAAGAACATACAACAGTTCCTGCGTTCAGGATTTGGGCAGCGTTTCCAAGAGGTCAGGTAGGTTACTACGCGCCTAAGAACACATACGGATGGACGTAGCCAGCTTGCCCACGGCTGTACGGTTACGGAACGCGTGCGAATGGGCCGCTCCCTGTTGTACGGCCAATTACCTGCCTCAATTGGTGCTCTAATGGATTGTAACGGCTATACCACTTGGCATCATATCTGTTTTGATGGAACGTGGAGCAATGAACATCAAACAGGCGAACAAATGTCGATGAAATGGCCGTTCTGCATGTCAGACAGCCTGACAGCAGGTTTCTAACCACCCGGGTTTCGAGTTTCCTTCCTTCGCTCGGCTTTGCCTACACATACACCTTGGCGGTTCGCATTTTCGTTCTGGGTGCTTCTTGATGATGTGTGTATGGTTGTTACAGTGGGCTCCAGACTCGCGAAGAGTAGAGCCAGCGGGCCAGCTGGCCGTGCACTGCAGTAGAGACGGACATACGCACTAGACTCCCACCCAGAGGAGACAACGCAAGTCATCTAAAGGAGAAACCCAAAAGCGCGACCAAAGGGAAGGCTCAGGACCCACAATCATTACTGAAGGAGGCCTAAGCCTCAAAAGTCCTCCAGTTAAAAAAATAAAAAAAGAATCAAAAATAGGTGATAGCTAATCATCCATCGGTGACCGCTCCCGTGAACATACCAATTTGCCTGACACAATTCGCAAGAAGGGGTGATGTGCCCCAACAGAATCCCATCCTTTCCGATGCGTTTGGACATTTAACATGACACTACACTTTTCAGAGCTGCGCGCTGCAGGAGAGTGCGCTCATAATAAGCGACATACAGACGAGTGCGCAGACAGTACATATACAGAAGAGTGCGAAGACAGTAAGTTGCCTTCAATAGGACTCGCTGGGTGGCCCAGCCACCTACTCAAGCATCCGATCCGTCTGCCGCCCACAGCTACCCGTTTTCGCTGCTCCGGTTGCTGCCTCACCGCGACCACCTCCGCTCACGGTAAATAGCATGAACTTAAACCTCACATATAATTTTTATATTTATTTCTGCAAAAATAATAATGTTGATGCGGGATGAGAAAGAACCCGAGGCCCATTGGAAACAGTCGTGCCTCTACGTAAGGCATCGACAGCTGGCCCGGAGCATCCCTTAACCACAACGGGGCATCCTTTAACTACTTGGCGCAAACAAGTCATTGTCTCCATTTTGAATTCCATCAACAGAGTAGTCGAGCCTTTGTATTTCCTTTTTCGTTTCGTCGCGACTCCTTTGCCTTGACCAACAACCGTCGACTCTTTTCTCGTCACCGAAGACCTCCTCAAGATGGCCAACTGCAACAAAACTGCTCATTTCTCCTTCACGGCTGGCTTCGGCCACCCTCCTGGTGTGGTGCTGCGCGCGACGCCCGGCATCGGTGCCGCCGACGACGCTCGAACTGCTTCCAACCACATGTCCGCCATGAACCGCATGTACAACATTAGCATGCAGAGCCAGATGACTTGGTCGCAGGGCTTTCCCATGGTGCAGCCGTCGCTGCAGGCCATGCCAGTGATGCAGCCCAGCGAGGCTCCGCAGATGCAGCAGCAGGTACACAAACACAATGACATGGTTTTCAAAGGATGCTTCCCTTGCTTTCAGCTTCCTCATCTCACGCTTTCTCGCCCCCACTTGACTCCCTTTTCCGACCTGCACCCGTATCCAGGTCCCTCCCCTCCTTTCCTCCACGCAGCGCATCCTCATGGTACCAGTCAACAACTTCAACCCAATGATGAGAATCAGGCCCTCTTAGGTGCCCGTCGGCGCCGTGGGGGTTGTGCGTCCCTGCGCCCCGGATGCACCCGTCCAGGGTGAGGCCCCAGCGTCCAAGGAGGCTGGTCGTGGCAAGCCCAGGGGCCGCAAGCCCAAGGCCACCTCACCCCAGCGCGTCGTCCTCAAAGCCAAGATCCCCCGCCCGCCCATCACCAAGGACGCAGTGGTCGACGACGACGATGGTGACGACAAGCACATTCCAGACGCCGTGGATGGCGACAGTGGTGACGACAGTGGTGACCAGGCCGGCAAAAGGGCCGGCGCCAAGCGCAAGCGCACTGAGGTAGGTTACGCTGGCGCTTGCTCCCGGATGCTGTCCCGGGTCGCCCCAAAAGAGGGGGTAATGCATTAGTGCAACTTCTTGCATGTGGGCAATTGCATGGGCGCCTTTCAATACCTTCATCGGTGCTTCGCTTCTTTCACTCCGATCCTCATCCTGCAAAACTTTACCCTCCAGGAGACTGTGGCAGTCACCAGGCTGTGCTCAAGAGATGATGATGCGGAAGAAGAAGGTCGACAGCGACCCCTCCCACGGCTTCAACAAGCGTTCCCGAACCCCTCGGGAGCTTTCCGCGGGACATTCCGCCTCGTGAGGCACACCCCGGAGCAGATCAACGACAAGGCCGCCGACGAGTCCATGCCGGAAATAAAAAATCGTGACGCCATCTTCAAGCTGAAGGGCAAATGCAAGAGGCGGATCACGTACCCGGTATGCTATATGTTTGCAGTTTAGGGAATGTCGCTCCCCTGTAACATTGTGATGCTGGGTTATGCACACGGTAGACGGGTCCCCCCCATAGGTGCCGGTACACATGAATGCAGGGCACGTGCATTGTGTGTGCGCCTGCATGTCATACTACCAGCCCGCATCTGCCATAAACCGTTGCCCTTCCTGTCCCAACCACGCCTCCTATCACACCCCAGGTGAATAAGGCAACGGATGAGCTGGCGGACATCCGGCCCAGCAACAACCCTGCTGATGCCTACGTGCCGCGAAGGGATCTGGGCCGGCAGGGCAGTGCGCAGCAGGCTCTCATGCGAGACCGCTCTTGCGAGGGCAGTGCTTGGCCCAGCACAGTAGTGGCGGTGGGCCTCCAGGCTCCTGACGCCCTGGCCGGCAACTGCACTGGCGTGCCAGGGAAGTCCACCGTGCGGGTCAGCCCTACAGACGCGATGTGCATGGCATTGGCTGATGACCTGAAGGACCTCACGAAGGCGTATCGTGAGCAGAACTCGTGCCTAGACGCTTGCTATAATGCCATCGGCAAGGTGGGTTGCCTAAAACAGCGTTTTTGGCTGCCACAGCTTCAGATGATAATGCTTGATCTTATGCCCCTAGGCCGACAATTTATTTGGTGGGATGCTTGCTAGCACGCTCCCTGCCATTCTGCCGTGACACCACTTAACACTGCCTTCTCATCGTTCCCCGTTCTACAGCTCGCGGACGTCGTGATGAAGCTGCTGCAGTGGGAGCCGGTCGAGAGGAGGACGCGGCAGCTGTACACAGAGCAGAGTATCGTCCTGCAGAAGGTGGAGGCCTTAAACAAGCTGCACGACATGGGCGCCTTGGCGGACAAGGACTTCGACGATGCGATCTGCAAGTTGAAGGAGGAGCTGATGAAGCCCCTTCCCTAATTGACTGCTTACAAGGAGGCGGCACGATATACTGCGACGGCTGTTTACATGGGGGGTTTAAGTGTTGTGCCCATTTGCTCAAGGCGTGTTCAGGTTCAGGGGTTCATTTCCCCCAGCGATTGCACCAAATCCTTATGCTCTTTAGGCTGGTCTTTAGGTTGGGAATTAGAGGTTAATAGGCCCAATGACCGTGAGCGCATTGCACGCACCTGCAGGCTTTGTGATGTGACTGTGGAGCGGTGGAAGGCCAACTGCATGTGTTTTGGGAACGCCCCGCTTATGATCGCTTGAGGGCTAAGTATTGGAGCATACTCGGGTTTCAAGAGCGCCACATGCGCACGATCGCGGCCGAGGATCCCCCCCCGGCTGGCATTAACTAGCTTTCACTACGAGGTCTGGGAAACTAGGAACGCAGCGCTTCGGCGTTTCGCGCTCAAACGGGAGCGGGAGGACAGCGATAATCGCCCCCGACACTGTAACATAAACAATTACAAACGTCCATGGGACCCTCGGCTTTGACGGACCCCTCCGCACTTGTGCGGACACTGTAACTGTAGTTACCCAGGCGTTGCACCACGCTGTGACACCACCACGTCTAACATTCTAGACCATCGCGGCAGGAGTAATGCCCAGGGATTAAGTGCTCAGCCAGTCCTTGCTGATATTTGTAAGCCCCCAGTGCCCGCAGTGCTTCCCACACGCGTGCTCCAGATGGACCCACTTAACCGGCTCCTGCCACCATCACGTGTGCAGCTGCAAGACGACGCCCCGGATCTCCTGCATCATTCGCCTTTGCCTGGTCTGCTTGAGGTTGTGGCGAACCTGCCGCAGCACGTTGGTATGTTTGGTACATCAGGTAGGGTTAGTTTTACGGAACTGAACGGGGTTGGAACTCAAGTTGTCAGGCGTCGGCACGGCCGGTGGTGGCTACCTATAGCGTGTGGATACTCCACGCATGCGTACTTGCATTTGAAAAGATGTCGCGTGTGGATGCTCCTTCCATAGCGCCCGTGTGGAGGACGCATGCTTCTCGAGCATGGGTTGGCATAGGCGCTGGCATCACCGTGTGTGGGACGTTCAGTGTCGCGGTACACAGCCATTCCTGAACGCAGCCGGCCGTCAATATATAAAGTGCAGACCCCAATGTGCACCTGCTGGGGACGTGAATGCACTAGCGCGGAGCCAGGGCGCAAATGCTATTTGGCGAGATGCATTTGCGACAGCAAGCGCGCTGGATAGAGCTTTAGGCCTTTCACTCATTGGCTGGAGAGAGGGGTGTCCATCCCCTCCTGGTGGTTTGCTACTGAGGGTTCGGGCACAGCTGACTACAAGACAAAGACTGAGCGGGCAAGTCGAGCAGGCAATGTCCGCGTGTTAACGCGACCAATGTTGTTTAGCGCAGTAATTCAACACCAACAGCGCAGGTGGAGCAAAGGCCAGACAGTCAGGGCCAGATAGTGCAGAGGTTTGTTGCAGTGCGACAACAACTTGTAAGTATGCCATGTCACCGTTGTCAACTAGTACGGCACATTACAGCACCTCTAGGCTGCGTAGGTACTTCAGTAGAGTCCAAGCAGCAGACAAACAGGGCGACGCGAAGGGATCTGGGAAGGGCGAACATCTGACCCTCGAGGACCACCATGCGCGGAACAAGAGGCCTGCATGAGGAAAGAATCAGCCCATCACGCGTGAGCGCTTGCGCACACTTCATAGCAGCGCAGTAAATTGCGATGCCTGCGTTGCATATCAATGTAAACGCAATGCCTCTTTCGCCACTTATCGGACTTCCAACCTTCTCTCTGTCGCCCGTTTCACGCTGAATGGCGGGCGGTTTGCCAGGCAAAACCCTACCTGCGTGCGCTGGGCTGCATAGTTGGTAGGACAGTCACATGCCGACAGACATCAATGCAAGACACTGGCTGCGGTTCCCGAGCCAGTTTTCCGTCGGCCGGGATGATGATCGATACTCCCCGGACTATCTGAAACCTTGACCATCGTGGTAGTCGCTTTCGGTGGCAGCAACCTTTCACTAGTGCACATATGTGCAGCAAAGACATCTCAAATCGGGGTTGGCGCCCCATGGTTGTCACGCGTGCCTGCGCCTGTGGTTTGAAGACCATTACGGCACAATTATAATGCGCGGAAACTCACAGACAGCACAGCACAGGGACGGCCGCATGCATACATACATGCCGTTCTCGTCCTTCGGGCGACGGGAACCTCTCATAACCTTTACAGCATCAAGGGCGGCCGCTTCCTGTCTTTCATCATATCCGCCTTCTACCAAACGCTAATACAATTCCAAGTCCACGGACGAGGACCACCTACCTGCGGCGCCAACCGTTCCCTCTCCAACAAAAAGCTTCTATTGCAAAGCATCTGCACCGCCCATGCTGCTCCAAAGGGCTGCCAGCCACTAGTCACCTCATCCATCAAGAAAGGTCTATAGTAGCCGGGTACACAGCGGACAAATCCACTTGTCGGCACTCAACGTCTGGGTGCTAAAAACGTTTTCGCCTTCGTCTCAGTGACTTGCCATCGCCTAAGCTTCCTGTGTGGGAAGCCCCACTCATGCTGTTGCCTGCTTCTCCCGAGTCGCTGCCCTCCACAGCGCCAGACGTCCCTAAGTGTCACCGGGGGAAACAGAAAAACAAATGCTCAATACAAACACGGACAACACACAAGGGAAACCGTAAAGAACCAAAACCAGGCCCTAAGGAACCAAAACTAGACCCAAAGATAAAACGAAGTACTAACGGTCCTAGAGGGGCAAGTGGTTTGGTACAGGAAAAACGAACACGTTGGATAGATTAGAACGGGATCAATCCTGTAAAAGGGGAAAGGTATGCAGGCGTTGTGGTTGGAGGGAAGCGAATGGAAATCCTGAGCTCATCGAGCTCCGATCAGATCGTGGAATAGGTCCACGCGAGATGATGGACAGCTCAGGGATGTATGCCCCGGGCCTAGGGCACACACGGACAGTAGGATTACGGCTTTCGGTTCCACGCAAGTCACATGTGGCCGACGGCTGGTTATACGAGTACTGAGGGATCTTAGAGACACAAACTGAAATGTACACAGGTCAGCTGGCTCATAAGACGCCGACCTGCATCAGTCACGGTCAGACTTATTCACAGTCACTATGCGTTGTTGGGTTAACAAAGCCTCTTGACTAGGGCCTGAACAGCCTGTCAAGAAGATTGGATACAGCCCAGGAGACTTGAGAGAAGCCCATATGGGGCGACGGGTACGATGGAAACATAGCTCTCTGTGAAGGGAAAGGGCGGGTACGGACATGGTGCTAGCTTGCATCCGGGTGTCGCATGACAATCAGCAAGGCCCCGAAACGTCGTATCCGCCGATGTCATTACCTGCTGCGGTAGGAGCGCTCGACTGAACTCCCGACGCCGCAAAGGATACGGGAATGGACGGGCTGGTAGAAAAGCTTGGAGCCGACTTAGGGCCGGCCATGTGCGCAGGTGCAGCAGCGGCAACTCGCTGAGATGCTGCCACCACTACACGTGCGGCTTGCAATTGGGTTGCGCCTGCAGTTATCAGGGTTTACGCAACCCGCAGACCTCGTTGTCAAACAACAGGACCACCACAGGACATGACTACCTACAGTTTTTATACTAAGCCTCGATCTTCACCTCACCGGCTCGCCAGGCTGCCGCCGCATGGCGAAGCGAAGACCCCTGATGTATCGGTGCGAGATTGTGTCGTCAGGTGGCAGTGCTCCAAGAGGGCCATTACATAGTCATATCATTAGATCGCCCACCTGACAAAATCGTTGCAAGTAGGACATGTCCTTACTAGAGCGTGGGAGGGAAGTGTGTTGAGGATCACAAGACCAGAATCTAGGCCTATGAACCCTAGTGTTATGTCCTTAGTGTTTCACGTTGGAGTTTTCAGGTCCTGCGATGATGCGGCTCACTTGTGGCGATGTGCTGACAAAGTCACTGTCCTGCAGGCTCTGTGCCGGTACTGGAGCTACACCTGGAACCACAACACTGGACGCCGTTCCGCTCCCGTAAAACCATTTGCTGTATACATTTAGTTAATTAGTAGCTACCAATGCCCCAAATCGCTGTCAAACTGTACCGATTGCTACACCGCGTGCGGCGAGACTACGTCAAAGCTCAGATCCCCCTTGTCGGCATTCTGGGCTTCGATGCACCACCTGCACTCAACCCGCAAGCTGAGCTATCAAGCGCTTTTCGCAGCGCGATCGCAATACCATCGGATCCCGTGCGGCAAGGCAGCGACGGATTTCGCGCCCTCCGCCAGGCTCAGCAACAGCTGCAAGTCCTGAAAAACAGCGAAGGGGAAACACGAGAGGTAGGGGGCCACTAGAGGCTGGGCCTACTAGTCCTCATTGGCAAGGTCGATGGCGGTTGGGAGTTGCAATTTGCAACGAACAGCTGCAAACCTAGTTCCCTTCACGCTCTTCTGATTCCAATGTCAAAAGGGAGCGGGTCATGCAGCGGGCCATGGGGAGGTTGCACCGGGCGGAACGAAAGCATTTTGTGCTGACAGTCGGAGCCTCGTTTCGCGTCCGTGTGGAGGCTCGCCAGTATTTCTTCCTCCCGTAACCAAAACATAGGTGCCGCAAGAACAAACGCAAAGCCATTCCGTCCAGGATCTCCATGTACACATAGGGCCCATTGGGCCCGTTCACGGTGTCGTAAGTTACAGAATGAGTTGTAGCAGCTCTGGTAAAACCATCGCTTAGAGGTTGTAGCAGCTCTGGTAAAACCATCGAGTTGTAGCAAAAGCATGCCTGCGAGGCTGGATCACCACAACATAGCCCATGCAAAACTCTTTCTCCAGCTGGGCAAACCCTAAGCGAAAAGGACTCTTATCGATCAAGACAAGGCGCCTTCCCCAGCCGTTCCCGCCCTCTTGACCCCACGGACTTTCTGACGCCGTGCGGGACACCGTGAAAACCATTCGGGACCCAACCATGTTGTACAACGCTGTCGTACTTCGCAGGCGCTGCG